ACACATCAAATAGAAGAGAAGTAAAACAGATAGTTTTACTTCTCTTCTATATGATGTATCATTAGAAACACTTAGAAAATGTGTTCTTCTGTGAGTCATCGTGTAACTCTTTTACAGATAAAGGTGCCAGAACATTTAAAAATATTGCTTGACATTTGGTTCTTGCAGCACCAAATTTCGGTTCAAAAAACTTTAAGATCCAGTTTTGAACTACAGTAAGATGTTTTGAAGCTCAAATCATGGATTGCTGTGTAAATGGCAAATGTCCTCCTTTGCTGCCATAACTAAATCACCTTCATTTCTAATAAAGTCAACGGTTAGCGTTATTCAAGATGATTCCAAAAAAAGACTTTAAATTCCTGATAAAACGCAGACCTAGAAAGTAATTGCGAGTATTTGTATTAGTATCAAAATAGTATGATTTCTGCTTTTTTTTCAAAATCATGAACTTTGTTTGGGACAAAATGAAATAAAAAATTCTTTTCGAAAACGGGACAAAATGAAAACAGGTTGGGAAGCTGGGACAAATGTCATAAAACAGGGACAATCCCGGTCAAAACGGGACATATTGTAAACTTATATATATATATATATATATATATATATATATATATATATATATATATATATATATATATATATATATATATATATATATATATATATATATATATATATATATATATATATATATATATATATATATATATATATATATATATATATATATATATATATAAATGCGATTCTAGATTGAGATTACCATGAGCAAAAAACGACCGCTGAAAAAACCTAGATTTTTCATTACGGATTTTTTGATTAAAAAACCTCTTATTTGTTTCGACGACGCTTTGTACTTCTGTAGCTTTACCCGTATTTGATTGCAGTAATTATAAACCTTTTGAACCAACCGACGTCCTCTCGCAATCTCTTACTTGTACACCTATTCAAACGATGTTAACAGAAGCCGATAACGAGGCATACAAAGATAATTCTCATCCAGCCAGTTATAACTCCAATACTATCAGTCGATATATTTTTATTCGTAATTTCCAAAATAGATACGCCAACCACTTTTGGTATCAATATCCCCACCACCACCACCAAAAAATCCTGGATCCGTCACTGTGTTTTTTACAGGGTTATTCATTCTTATATGCGCATTTATTCATTTTTATATGCGCCTTTATTCATTCTTATATGCATTTTAAAAAAGCAGTTGTAAAAAAGCAATTTGAACAAAAAAAAATCATTTAAGCAATTTGTTTTGAAAAAACAGTTTATTGTTTTAAAACAAATTTTTCTTATTTCCAGGTAAACGAGGTTAAAAATGCTTAAAACGAAGACTTCTAACATTCGACGATGGTTTATTTAATTTTAGTATTAGTTCTTGGCTTTCGATGATTTTAGTATTAGTTCTTTGTAATTTTATTATTAAATTTCTTGATTGATTAAGTTATTATTTATCTAATTATTCATTTATCTAGATTTAAATTTAATTATTTATAATTATTATTAATTTCAAATTATACATCCCTATGGATGGAATAGAAAATAGCAGTACAACAATCGTAAAATAAGGAAATATGTTACAAAAGAGCACATTGAAATGCTTAAGCATTTAATTGAAAGAAATCAATCTACAACAAGCATTTCTACTTCTCTTAATTTATCAAAGCGCGCAGTTCAAAATTTTGTCGTTAAGTTTAACAGAGGATAATTCGACGACATGACTGCATTCAAGTCGTTTTCTGATAAAAAACGAGATAAACGACCAATAAACTCTCAAATAATAAATATTATCGAATTATGCGTACAAGAAAAGAATCTTTGCACGCAAGAAGCAATAAAAACATATCATTCTGCAGCAGGCTTCAACATGTCTCAGTCTACTATTTCAAGAAAACTCAAACGCTCAGATTTATCAAGAAAACGTGTTGTGCATGTGCCGAAGAACGAAACTCAACACCAGTTATTAATGCACGCTATGCATTAGCAAGCAAAATAAACGGAACTTCAAGTAAAAAACTTATTTATTTGGATGAAACTGGATTTAATGTGCACACTAACAGCACATATGGTTGTTTGCTAAGAGATGCGCCAGCAATTTTACAGTCACCTGCAAATCGTGGTAAGAATGTTAGTTTAATTTGTGCTGTTTCAACAATGGGAGTGCTTATGAAATAAAAACTGGAGGCTGGAATGCAGATTCATTTTGTACTTTCATAACTACAATTATGGCACCAGCGATTAGGAATGCTAAGGTTGAAGCGCCAGTGTTTGTTATGGACAATTTTAAATTCCACTGGAGTCTTTCTATTAGGCAAACACTAACCTCTCATGTTTTAGCTATTAAGTATTATATTACATGGTATAGCTATTAAGTATTACAGCTATTACGTATTGATATTAACAATAATTATAAATAATTAAATTCAAATCTAGATAAATGAATAATTAGATAAATAATAACTTAATCAATCAAGAAATTTAATAATAAAATTACAAAGAACCAATACTAAATTAAATAAACTATCACCGAAAGCAAAGAACTAATACTAAAATTAAATAAACCGTCGTCGAATGTAAAAAGTCTTCGTTTTAAGTATTTTTAACCTCGTTTACCTGGAAATAAGAAAAATTTGTTTTGAAAAAATAAACTGTTTTTTTACAATTGCTTTTGTAAAACGCATATAAGAATGAATAAAGGCGCATATAAAAATGAATAAATGCGCATATAAGAATGAATAAATGCGCATATAAAAATGAATAAATGCGCATATAAGAATGAATAAATGCGCATATAAAAATGAATAGATGCGCATATAAGAATGAATAACCCTGTAACATTTTATAAGCAAGTTTAAACTCTTTAATGGAAACTTCAAAGTTACTTGAAATAGAATTTACAAGAAGTATAAAATCATTTATTTTGTTGGTTTTACAGGAAGTATAAAATTATTTATTTAATTTAGCTAAAGTTAAAAAGAGAAACAAAAAACTTTTGCAACATAATTTGCGTTACGGATTTTGTTTTTTTAAGAACAGTGGCCGTATTCTCATCTCTCCGTTAAGCTTAACGGAGCATTTGTCAAAAAGTTCTTTTTAACTACATTAATAAAAAAAATTCTTTAAAAAAATAATTTTTTAAATAAAATTGTTTTATATTAGTCTTAGTTTCATTTAAACAAATTTAAAAAAAATGTTTGTCATTTCTTTAGTTAGAAATGTTGTAATGAAATTTTTGACAAACGCTCCGTTAAGTTTAACGGAGAGATGAGAATACGGCTGCTGAACACTAAAGCAATTATTTAAAACATGACTTAATGCAAAAAATTAATTAAGAAAGGAAAAAATATTAGTAAAGAACTTTAATTTAAACTTGTTTGAGTATAATAACAACAAAAACATGAAAGATTGTTACAAAACTTTATTTGAAACGGAAAACTGTAATAAATAAACCTACAAGAATTAGAAATCATTCATATTCCTCAATTAATAACATTCTAACCAATGGTTTGTTTAAAAAGCTGCCTAAAATAGGTATTGTTAAATAAGATGTCTCAAACCTTTTTTTTTATTTTTTTTTTTTTATAATTGCAAATTATAAATAAAAATTCAAAAAACTTAAAAAATAAAAAAACTTAAAAAATCATCAAAAATGAAACAAAAACTCTATGTTAATTATCTAAAAACTAAACCAGTCAAGCATAAAAACAACTACTTAACTTATAAAAATAATTTCCAACTCCGCAAAAATGCGGAAAAAAAAAATTAGGGATCATCCATAAAGTACGTACACTCGGGGGGGGGGGGGGGAAGAGGGGGTCTGCAAATAGAGTATTTAAAATGGGAGGGCAGTGAGTCAGTTATGAAAGAAAGGAGACACTATATTAAAAAATATATCATAAAATGTTAGATAAATAGTTTTAAAGCGTAGGTACTTTTAGGGAGGTGGAATTAATCAAAGAGATTACCGGAAAAAAAAGTAATGTACAATATCAGAAATAAACGCAATAAAAATTAAAAAAAAATTATTTAATGACCCTAATAAAATTGCTTTAGAATTTAACAATTTTTTTTTTCTTTTATCGAAATCTTTAATCGAAAAAAAGCTTGTCAAATAAAATTCCTTAATTTAATGACAAATCAATTGATCAAAAAAATCACCAAATTTGACGTTTTGAAAGATATTCTCTAAGATTTGTAAAGCATGAACTGTTCAGGGATACTTTTCAGACAGGTCGACAGTTAGTTTCAGGGATACTATGCAGACAGGTCGACAGTTAGTTTTATCTTCTTTAAAAATCGGTATAGTTTTTGCGATTTTCAATTGATAAGGGTAAACTCTATAATCTATTGACGCTTTGAAAACTTTAAAGAGAATATCATTTAATTGTTCAAAACAGTCTTTAACTATAATAACATTTATGGCATCAGCACTAACTGCTCTTTTTTTTTTTTTTTGAATTTGAAGATAATTCCAAAGTCAATTCATTAGAAGTAATACAAACATGAATTAGTACAAGAAAATCACTAAATACAGCTCGGGTGTTTTTTCGGGGTGAACTTTTGTTGCCAATTCTAAAAGGTTTGTAAAAGTTATTTGGATTGATTTTTTTCAAATTTCTTGGTAACCCAAGGTTTATAAAAGTTATTTGGATTGATTTTTTTTTTCAATAAATGGAAAATTAGCATCGTAGATAGACAACAATGTGCTGAAAAGTTGTTGTAGAGTTAGCCATGTCATTAAATTTTATATGCTTTTAATTAAGTAGTAAAAATCTTTTAACTAATTAAAATTGATCTAGTTATAATTAGATCATTTTTATGCTTTTATAAAAGCACCTGTCTCAGTGTTTGGCTAGATTTAATTTTTGTTATGGACTTGCATTAAATGCAAAGAATATAGGAAATTGGTGAAAGTGAAAATCTTTGTTTTTTGACATATAAACTTATTGTTGGAATAACCTAACATTAGCTTTGTTTGTCAAATGAAGAAAAATAAAACATTATACTGCATTACTTATTATATACAACATATTTCTATTTAAATAACACTACTTTGAAACATTATACAATAATATAAAAATGTATTTAATTTTTTGATTGTTTTAAAATATCTGTATAGTCTAGCTCTTGAGTTTGTAGGTCTGAACATAACTCTGTTATATTTTCCACTATATTAAATTTATTTTTTAATATGAATACAGCTTTTTCATTTTTATTTTTCGGTTGAGTTGCACATTCATATTTCAATAAAAAGTTCATTTTTTTAAGTTTTTCAAGATCTTGTTGAAAACTAATACCACTATTTTTTATTTTTTTCCAAAGTGTTTTATTAAAATAATCATAAATTGCAGCATCCATTTTATTCCAATTCAAAACACGTGTTTTTGTTTTTTCAATATTGTTTGAACCGACATCTTTGGTCAACCTTACATTATGAATAAAAAATGCTATATCCTTCAAATTCCAACAAAGCTCGTTTTTTAATAAAACCAACGACTCCTCCATGTATTCTGTAATCATTACTAGACTAAAGTCTTTTTCAATTGATTTTAAAACTGTTTTAATATATTCGGTAGTTTCGTTCCATGGGTCAAATCCCATGTCAAATGCGTTTGGGTTTTTTGATAAAGAAAAAGCACCATATGGGTCATATTCCTGAGATTTTATATACTTTTTTAAATCATTGTCCGAAACGCTGAAAAGTTCATCAAGAATAGGTAACTTTCCATTTAATTTGTAGCAATGCTTAAAATTAAATGATTGCGCTGCTGATTCCAGCTGCGAGTATGGTTCCCTCAAAATTGTTACGAATTTTGTTTGCCGTTTGTCTATGATTTCTAAAATGTTTTGCTTATGAAAAACAGCGTGATGAAACATCATGTTGTAAGTATCGTTTTCTTTATGTTTGTAAATTGCGTTTTGCTTAAATTTAAATGGCCAACAAAATCTGTGAGCGCACTTTGGTAAAACCACTTTTAAATTATTTGATTTTGAATATCTATACATTACATTCGCAACTGTTGTTGAACCCGTTTTGTGTGTTTTAAGAAAGATTACGTTATTCACTGGTGTGCACGGAGATCTCTCCCTATAAAAATAACAGTACTTTTTAAAAAAGTTACTTTAACTTTTTTTTAATATAAGAAAAAAATAAGGTAAAAATATTTTGTTACAAATAATTTTGGTGTATTAAGTATAAATAAGTAATAGTGTTAACAAGTGTCATTGTGAAAATTTCCGGTTATTTGTAACAGAGCAACGCAAAAAGCATTTAAACAAGAGGTTTTGATGCTCTTTTAGATGCCTACGTATTTATTTTATTTGCCTAGAACGGAATACTACTGCGTTTATTCCTATTTAAGTTGGACGTGTCCTGTATAATATACCTCATAAAAATTCTTGAAATATCTTTTAAATTGAAACCTATTATAATTAAAACTAGTTTTTTTTACATATATTTTACTATTATTATTATTTTCTAACTAAACTATAATTTAGATATAAATACTATTTGTGCATAAGAGATAATCAATTATTATTTTTTATCATTAAATACGTCTAATTTGACTCACAGCCAAATCAGCCTGTAGATATGTACATACGTGATTCAGTTACTAATAATCCTTCCACTGAATTACTTGCTTTCAAATTGATCGTCTGTAGTACACCTGTTATAATTTCTCATCCAACTTATTTTCTTAAAAAAATGTTTTTTCCTCTTAGGGAGTTTGCGGCCTGATGTGTACAATCTTATGTTTTATAAAACAAATTCGTGTAATTAAGTAAATAATTATATGCAAATTACGTATTGATATTTACAAGTTGTGACGTTAAAATAATAGGGTTCTATCTCCCTTTTGTAACGTTGAGAGAATTCAACAAAACTTGTTATACTCTCTTAAATTTTTTAAATTAGAAGTAAAAATTTGTTAAATTTGTTAATTTAAAAGATCAAAATATCAAATTTGTTAAATTGATTGCTTAGAACGCACATTTATTATTATTTGTTAAGTAGTATAAAATGATATCGGATAAAATTGCATGTTGGTAGATGAGAGTTATAAGGTTTTCCCAATTTTTTATTGTAAAAGAATTTAACTTCCTGCTTTTTTTTTTATAATATTATTTTTGAGTTCAAAGTTATATAATTTTAGTATATTAATTTTATTATTATTATTTATATAATATTTAAAAACGTATACTTTTGTTTTTTCATTGTTTATTTCAACCTTATTTCGTAAAGTTGGAATTAACAATTAATTTGTAAACAAGCAGTTTAAAAATTATAAAGTTAATTCTGTAAGGTTAATTATAAAATATAAATAACACAAAAAACATAAATTTTATCAACATTTTGTAGTATGTAACTTTGTAGTATGTAACTTTGTTTTACAAAGTTACATACTACAAAATTATCATTCATTGTTGACGCTTGTGATTCATATATGAATCCATATGATTTAAATTGTTTTAAGTTTTTTTTCTTCTGCAAAACTGGAAACCTTGGTATTATTCATATTATTTTGAATATTTAGTTCTTGTTCATTTAATGACGTTTTAAAAGTATATTTTATAAAACCCTACAATTATTCATAAAAATATGTATACCTAATTGACACTTATAAATATCCATGAATAATTTACATTTAGTAACTTACTTAATTAAACGTAATTTTAATATATTAGTTAAATAAATTTCTTTTGACGTATTTTATAAGTTTTTTTTTCCTAATTTAGTATTGCGCAAGTTCCTGTATCGAAAGTCTTTATTTTGTAATTTTTTTTTATTACGTTATAAAAAAGAAAAATCAAATGTTTTATATGTCACAATTAGCCTTAATAAAACATAGGATTAACATGGACGATATTAAAAAAACTATAAAAAATCCTAAATTTTGAATTGTGTGGAACCGTTTGAAATTATAATTTTATTTCTGCTTGGTATTAGGGATGAACAAAACCAGGTATTCTGTTCGGTTTGTTGAAACCCAGATTCGACTAGATTTTCAGATAGCCAAAACTCTAGTCCGGTTCCGAATCGGAACAATCGGATCGGAAACCGGGTTTATCTAAATCCAAAACTAATTATACAAATAGGAGAGTCTTCTGCTTTTGCAAACATATTGATTGTTTTTTTTATGTACTTTTGCATGCTTAATACAAGGGGATAAGATGCGACTTTTATTTTCTAGTTCTTCTTCAACCTTAGCTTTTAACTTTTGTAACCTAGCAGGAGAAGACCATACATACTTTACAAAAGTATAAGCTTTTCTAATTGATCAAGGTCAGCAAGGCCATCTTCCACAACTAAGTTTAAAACATGCGCAGCACTCCTCATGTACAAAAATATTCCATCAAAAATACTACACTCCCAGTGATTAAACTACGGCTATCTAATACACAGGTCTATTAATATTAATCGTGCAAACCGTAAAAATAACTGGAGGCCGATAAACTCAGAAAAATTTGCCAAAGGTTAGTATTGTTGCTTAAATTAGAAGAAAAAAAAAATTTCTTGAGACTTATGCCTTTAAAGTGAAAAGTGTTGCAAATTGCCCTACTAGTTATTTAATAGATTAAAAAAAAGTGTGCTGTTTACAGATTACCAAACGATCCAGAAGAACGTAGAAAGTGATCATCAGCTATTCCAAGAAGCAACATTTCTGAAAGCAAATACTCTGTTGTATGTCTGAACATTGGCCTATAAATTTAAAAAAAATTAATGTTTAAGGTAAGGAAAGATCCTCTTCTCCGCCTTCTATTTTTCATTGTGTTAAGTCCAGCCTTGTACCAACTGCACCTCCAAAATCTTCATCAACTTCATTAACTGGTACAAGAAATGTACATGCTCATCAACTTAAGACGTTCAGAGCCATGGACTCTTTGAATTTTAATGATTTGATTATTCATTTACAAGTTTGTCTAAAAATCATGTAATAATTTTAGAGAGAGAAAAAATTTACATTGACTTTATTATTGTCACATATAATCGCAACATACCTTCCATTTGCATTGCTGGTTACCTTCAATTTAAGATTGGTTATGGAGATCTTGACACTGATACATATTCATATTGTAATGAGTATGGTGCTTATCTCAAAGACTTAGATAGAGGTAGTTTGACAAAGCCAAATGACATTCTATGTCAATTTACTTAATTTTTTTATGTACTTTTTATTGCACTGCATCTGCCAGTTTGTTTGCATTCCTTATCTAACTACTTTAAATCAATTGACAATTTATATATTTAGGTTATTCTAAGAATAATATGTGTTTGAAAAGTTTTAAAATTTTATCAAATATTTTTTTAAATAATTATTCAAAACTAAACATTCTAACAAAAGTTTTAAAACTGATTGAGAGTGATAAAATTAAAACTTTTGTTAATTTTGTTGTTTGACTAATGTAAGACTCTTTTTAATAAATTATATTTTATTGAAATTTTGTAATATTTTCTCTTCAATAAATATAAATTAAGTATGCCTTTAGTTAGATAACAATTGTAGTTTGTTAAAATATTTTTATAAATCAAAATTAGGTCTAAATTAAATTTTTACTAACCGGCCTCCAGTTTTTAAGTTTTGCCGCTCGTGTAATACGCTAGTATTTTAGATAGCCGTGGATTAAACTGTCATTTAGATAATCAAGAGCAACTTCATTATCTACTGTCACGTCAAATAATTTTTCACCTACTAAAAAAAGGTTCTCATCAGTATTTGCAATTTGCCAACTAGCTCAATAAGCCAACTAGCTGCAATTTACCAAGTAGCTCAATTAGCCAACTCAAGTGCGCAATACTTGCATAAGTGGTGGTGTGATCATTTACATTCACAATTCTATTGATATACGTAACAATCTCCATGTAATTAATACAAAATATGAGTCGTTAAGCGTTGATATACAATATTTTTAGATGTCTCGGATACCTATAAAGTTATTATTTTTTTAATAAATACAGAAAACCAAGTCAGATTAGAATATCCGATTCATTTGTGATCCGAATATTCAAAGAAAAAACGGATCGGTGATTCGGTCTGCTTTTTCCGGTTCGGTTACCCAAATTTTTAGATTTTTTAAGTTGGATACCGGACTCGAAATTAGGATAACCGGTTATTCGAATATTTTTGCTCACCTATTATTTGGTATGAACAATAATTGAATTTGAGTTTTTGTATTACAAAACTTTTTATATGTATATTTATATTTTATTTGTTATATTGTTTAGGTTTTTTTGTTTTTGTTGTTGTTATTTTTTCTCTTTTTATAACACTTCAAATAATTAAAAATATTTTTTTTTAATTATTTTAAATTTTGTTAATTTATTTTATTTTGTAGCTTCATTTCGACTTACAAAGATGGTGACCTGTAAGAATGGTCAAATATGTGCGGTACTGCAAGTTACTTATTTTAATTACTTTAAATAATTATGAAACTACTTCCAATGAACGATATACTGCAAAGGTATTTTTAAGGTGTGAAATAACTTTAAAATTATTCAATCATATATGAAAAATATATCAGTGAATATTTTTACAAGGAAAACACTTAAGAGAGTAGTAAAACAACTAAATTATTTTATTTGCAATTTATATATAAATATATATATATATATATATATATATATATATATATATATATATATATATATATTTATATATATATGTATTTATATATACATTTATATACCGTGTGTGTGTAAAAAACTAGAGAAAAAAATAAGAAATATCAAGATTTAGAAACTAATAAATAATTAAAAAATGCTAAAAAGTCTACAACTGCTAAAATATCGAGAAGTTTTTTTCGCAAAATAAAACCTGAAATATTTAATAGACGTATCCCGCATTCCAATGACGTAATGACATCAGGCAATGATAAAGCGTAAACAGAAAATTGTAGTTTTTATTATTTCAAATTAACATAAGTGACTTTGCCTGTTCTACATTAACTAAAGGAGGAGGAAGTGGAGCTTATTGCTGTATTCCACAATGCAAAAGTTCATTTTACGATTTTCAAAAAAAAAAGTCAGGAATTAGATTTTTTTAAATACCCAAGAATACTGCTCGTCGAAATAAGTGGGCAAAAATTATTTCTCAATTTAAAAGAAAAGGTGGTAATGATAATTTTGTTATTAAGGACACGACTCTAGTATGCAAGCTTCATTTTAAAAATGAAGACATTCAATTTTTATCCATTATTGGCAGAAAAACTTTAAAAAAAGAAGCATTTCCATCTATTTTTGAATTTAAAAAACAAGTTGATGTACAAAAACGATGTTCGCCTAAAAAAAGAAAATTTATCGAAAACTTTGATATTGAAAACGTTTCTAGAAATGAAGACAATAATTTTAAAAATAACGATAAAGAACTATTAATTGATTTTGAAATTGAGAAAGGTTGCATATTTTGTGTTGAACTACAAAACAAAATTGATCTACTGGAAAAAGAAAAACACAAGTTGAAATCTCAAATAAGCATTTTAGAATCTAAAAATAAAAAAATAAAAAATCAACTGAATCAATATAAAAATAAATACATACTAAGTTATGAAAATATGTCAACAGACAAAAAACTGTTCCAAAAATATACTGGCATAGAACATGAACAGTATATAAATTTGTACAACTTTTTAAATCCAGGAAAAAATGGTGAAAATATTAAATACCACAACTCAGCATTATCTGAAAATATGCACAGGTTAGGTACACAGGCAAAAACTGGTCCAAAAACAAAATTAAACACAGAAAATCAGTTATTTATGTTTTTAGTGTGGCTAAAAAATGGATTTACAATTTTGCACACATCTTGGTTATTTAAAATTTCAAAATCAACATCTCTGTATTTAATAACATGGACAAACTTTCTATATTTTTCTTTGGGAAGTGTACCTATTTGGCCTTCACGCGAAAAAGTTGATAAGTTTATGCCAGAAAGCTTTAAGATGACATTTCCATCAATAAGATGCATTATTGATTGTACTGAACTGTTTTGTCAGAAATCTTCATCACTGAGACACCAGAGTTCTTTATTTTCTAGTTATAAACATCATGTAACTTACAAAGGATTGTTAGGTATTTCTCCTTCAGGAGCAATAACTTTTATAAGTCAACTTTATGATGGATCTATTTCTGACAGAGAAATTGTTGTAAGATCAGGTTTCCTTAATAAAGAACTATGGAACAAAAATGTTTCAAAAAAATTCAGTTATGGCTGATCGTGGGTTTACCATTTCAGACCATTTAAACACAATCAATGTTAAATTAAATATACCATCTTTTTTAAATGGACAACTACAGCTAAGTAAAGAAGATGCTACAGAAAGTCAAACCATTGCATCATTGAGAATTCACGTAGAACGTACTATTCGTAGGATTAAAGTATTTCGCCAAATAAGTAATGAAATTCCTTTGGTGTTTCACGGTTCAATTAACCAACTATGGACAGTAACTTGTCTTTTATGTAGCTTTTTGCTACCACTTATTAAAAAATAAGATCAAAAGTAAAAACATTTATTTACATATAGAGGGTATTATGCTTTCTTTGCTATTTACATTATTGTCTAATACTTGTGGTAAAAAATAGTTAATGTAAAAATTATTTAACTTAGTAATTAATTTAAAAAAGAACTGATTGTCAAAAGGTGTTCTTATAATAGCAATTCCTTTAAATGTGTACACAACAAAGTCACAAAACTGGGAATTACTTAACCCCATTGCCATTTGTATTTGTGTATAATAACCAGTATAATGATCTTTTTTTAAATATGGGTGTCCATTGTCTAATCCGATATAAAAATCATTATCATTCAAACATTCTGAAAAAGATAAGTGCTTTTTCATTCTAGGGCATTTAATTTCAATTAAACCATAATAATATTTAGCCTCTTCATCATATACAAGACCATCCGGACTTGCAGATAACCAAAATAAGTTAGGTTGTATTACAATTCCAGTTGTCCTAACTGAAATATTGCAATTTAATCTATTTTTCAAAACTTCAATATATTTCTCTCGTGCATGTGGCTCATAAGCAAGCCCGTGGTCTAAAGACTCTTGATTTAGGCAAATCAACTTTTTGTGTGTTATTAATTAACTGATGAGCAAGAGTTTCAAATTGTCTTTGCGTATATAAATTTTATGAGAAGTACTTGAAGTTAAGCGATATTTTCTTAGATTAAACCACGGCTGATTTTTATTTTGTGTAACTGTATCAGCTTCATACTTTCTGCTTTATTCAGAACATACTTTTATTGATAACTGTATCAGCTTCATACTTTCTGCTCTGTTCAGAACATACTTTTATTTTGTGTAACTGTATCAGCTTCATACTTTCTGCTTTGTTCAGAAGATACTTTTATTGATAACAAAAAATCGTTTTGTTTCTCATTAAGCTCGTTTACTAAGCTCATTAACCTCGGTATATAGCAATGATTTTTATTATAAAAGCCAAGAGGTAAAGGAGGCAGGGTATTCGACACATTAAAAGAAATTGCTTCAAGTTTTTCAATATTAGTGATAAAATCAAAGCTCTCATTTATCTGGAGTTGATAAGATAAAGGAGAACCAATTGAAAAATTTCCAAATGATGTTTTAGTAAAACTAAAAATGTCAGGTACGCAATAAACAATACCAATATCTTTATTGAAAAAAGCAACATTTGATTTTAGATTGCAAATATTTCCTTTTAAAGTTTCTTCTTTACAATTTATTCGTCTTGGATCATATAAAGTAGCCTTAATGCCACGCTTAAATTCAAATTTTTGAACATTTGTAAACATAACAGGATTTTTAATTGTTTTAGTTTTATGACCTGGAATGCCCCATTACCTTGATTTACTTGTACAAGCAATCTCTTCAGGTACATACTCAAGTAAATTTAAAGAATATTCTGCAAGTTCAAATAACAAAGCCATCACGTGATTACAATAACCACTATTTCCAGCAGGGCATGAGCAATATGCTTTTCTAACAGAGCTAGTCAATCTGCTAATATAAACTTTTAAATCACGAACTTCATTTTTCATGCTTACTTTGCATTTTGCTTTTACTATGATACACGTTAGGTTACACGAAGTGTAAATAATATCTGATGATATATATCGTTCAGATTTAAATCTTTTACCTCTTTCAAATGTTTTTTTTATCGCAATACTTTTGTTTTTAGCTTATTTTTTTTCTGTAGTTTTCTTTTTCTTTAATAGTGAATAGTGGCAAGTATTTTAAACTTTTACACCAAGTTAAAGTTTTATCTGTAGATTTAAAATTAGGTGAAATATTTAAATTTCTATTTATTTCTAAAACAATTGGTATTTCAGTTGAATAATTTTGTATATCTATCAGAGCATCTTCTACTTGAGAGTTCATTTTTTAAACAATTATTTCGATATTTACGTTTTATCATTGCCTGATGTCATTACATCATCACGTCATTGGAATGCGGGACACGTCTATTGAATAGGAAGTTAAGTTTAAATTATATTATAAGACAACAAAGATGTTGTAGCTTGATGCATAAATAAATGGTAACAAAGTTTTGTACTCAAATACAAGTACTGTTACTTGAGTGAATTTTAATCAAATACAAATAAACGTTATCTGTCGAAACGTTTACTCCAGTAAAAGTAAAAAGTAGCTTTATTTTTATTTTATTATTATTTTTTTTTCTGTAGTTACTAAGGTGCTCCCAGAAGTCCTCACGGTCTTATCATAGAGCACCGCGGAAGAGCATTTAACACAGAAACAGGGAAGTTCAAGTACATGAGGATGTTTTCATAAGAGGTTGTCCGTAAGTTTCGTCACGCAACTTTTGACTAATTTTTTTAATATTTTAATTTTTCTTAGCTGCTTTTATTTAAACAGTTGATTAATTTTAACACATAAATTTTAATTATTTTACCAAATAATAAAATAAAAGCCATTATTTGTGCGCGCCTAAAAATAATCTTTTTACCTTCAGCATGGAAGTATTAAAACAGGAAGTTCAACCGCATTATTAAAATAGGAAGTTCAACCGACTATGCATGTAGAATTTTGTTTTGTAAACAAACAATTAAGAAGACAACAAGACTGTTCTTAAACGCTTAATCATTTTATGTTGACGCAAATGGAATTATGATACAAAACTAATGCTTTAGTAATGTAAAACATTTTGTTTTGAATTTTTAAAAAGTGTTGTAGCTGTCTGTTTAATCAAATTTTGTGGAAGCATGAAAAGAAGTTTAAACTTACACATGGTTTTAGAATAAAGTGGTTCTATTTAACTACCAACTTTTAATAAACATTTTGTTGAATAACTACAATAACTAATGATTAAAATTTAGTAGCGTACCTTAAAATAATTTCTTTTAATGTTTTAATAAAAATCATTTCAGCAAATTTTTGTTGTTTTTTGTCCATAGAAAGTCGTTTTTTTATTGTCGGTTACAAGCATACTCCCGAGACGACTTTGATGTTTGCGGCTTGATGAACTTCCATCTATTTTATACTAGAGGTATACCGGATATTTTTGCAGGATATGCCGGAGATTGAACTTTTCTAAAGTTCTATAAATATTTATGAAAAAAAAAACAAGTCTTGCCAGTCTACAATAAATAGTATTCAAGATCTTACATAAAAAAAATCAAGAGAAAAACTGAATCACGTGAGATATGCGCTGAAGAAGTATAGAAAATAGAAATTAAAAAAAACTTTGGCTGTAAAAACGATTTTTCCTTATACATTATTAAAGCATATACCTGTGTTATACCAGTTTTTTCTTGATTTTATTTTTTTAAATGTTAAACACTGTTTAATGTAGAATGGCAAGACTTGTTTTTCTTTTTAAACACTTATAGAACTTTAGAAGTTTAATATCCGGCATATCCGGCAAAAATATCTGGTACACCTTTATTTTATACTTCCATGCCACTAATCTCTATAACAACTTTTTAATATCTATAATATCCCGAAGATCTCTAAAATATCCCTATAAGTTATTATAGAGATCAATGTTCCATGCCTTCAGTAAAAATTTTATTTGTACGCAAAAAAAAGGACTTGTTTTTCTTCATAAACACTTATAGAACTTTAGAAGTTTAATATCCGGCATATCCGGCAAAAATATCTGGTACACCTTTATTTTATACTTCCATGCCACTGATCTCTATAACAACTTTTTAATATCTATAATATCCCGAAGATCTCTAAAATATCCCTATAAGTTATTATAGAGATCAATGTTCCATGCCTGCAAAAAAAAAAAAAATTTTTTTCATATTTATGTATTGACGGAGAGCCGCTTTACGGCTCTCCGCCAATACATAACTTTGTTTACGGCTTTATCAGAGGCTGATAAAGCCGTAAACAAAGTAGAGCCTACATTTACCAGCTAAAATTTAAGTCAATTCCGATAAAAATTGAGTCAATTTAAAAAAACCAATTTCATTGGACCTTTCTCCATAAAGCAATGTATTATGGTATTTGTATGTACAGAAAAATCAAAAACTCGCGATTCATAGTTTTTTTAATTTTTCATTATTTCGTGGCTTGCTCGTGAATAGATAATAGTTTTCTCGTTATAAATGTAATTTATAATTAATTAACATTTACCCCAAAATCTTTCATAAATCTTATTATATCCGCAGGAGAATAACCGCATTGTAATATAAACAAATATTTCAACGCAGTTAAAGTTAAATTTTGTTAGAGAAGCTTGTTTTAAGTATATTTTACAATTATACATATGTAAAAGAATATCTAATTAACTCTATAAACATTCCTGGTAGATATAGCTTTTCAAAAAGCTCTTAGCTTTCCACTAAATGCAACTTTTTGTGTAATTACAAACAAGGAATTTAACAGCGTCAAAAACACAATAATCTCTAAAGATGTAACTTAATGTTCAAAAGACAATATCTCTGTTTCCGATAACACATCAAAATATATTTACTTATATAGTATCAGACTATATTTTGAAAGAAAAGCTGCTAAACATAAAATAGCTGGTTATCAGTTATTCAAAGAGAGCTATGTAAAATAAATTAGAGTTAAACCAAATATTTTATTATATAGAATTAAACCAAGTAATGACAATCGCTGTGTTAATTATTGAAATTATTTTAACCAAAATCATTTTGTGAAATATTTACTAACGCAAAAATAAAAAAAATGTTGAAAAGTTTAAGCCTAGATATAATAGAAAAATTTCTTTACTGTCTGGACCATTTAATTAAAACTAATTTGACTGAGGAAAATTAAAACTTATCATAATGCTAATCAATTTTAAGAAAATAATTACATCAGAAACTAAAGATCAATACAAAAACAAAAATGGATTGAAGAACAAAATAAAAAACTTACTGCATCAAGTTTTTGGTACAGTTATAAACTATAGAAATAATATTCCTCCAACTTCATTGTTAAAAAAGCTTATAAGAAACTGTGATAGTAGTTTACAATCACATCCTTGTTAGTGGAGTATTGAAAAGATATTGCTCATGAAAAGTTTAAAGTAAAAGTTAATTATGATGCTAAAAAATACGATCTTGTTATAAATCCTAAATGACATGGCAAGTTCTAATCCTGATGGGTTGTGTTTTATCTACACAGCTGCAAAATAATTGAAGTAAAGTGCACTTTTTTAAAAAGAAATCTTTTTGTACATAAAGCTTGTACCAATAAAACTTTTTGTATAGAAATAGTAATAAATAACAAAAACTAAAAAACAATTAATTTTACTAATGTCAAGGTATCTTTTACAGAAAAGAGCGAAATTGACTTTGTTCTATACAAGGATAAAGATTTTTTTGTGCAATCAATTAAATTTGAAAATGAAAATTGGTTCAATAAGATTTTACCTTGTTTAAATACATTTTATTTTCAGTTAAGGATTAAAAAAATATTTGAAAGGATGTAAAAGTATGTAAAAATTATTATAAGAAATTAACATTTTTTTTATTCTTCAATATTTTTTTTGTTGAGAATTGCATTAAACAATAAATTTTTATGTTTTACTTATTTGCTAAAGCATTTTGGTACAAACATGCAAAATCCCGACTTCTTTTTTTTTGCTTGTTTTTTAGTTGAAAAACATTGTTTGGTGCACTTGTTGTTATCTATTCTTCAAAGTCTTATATAGTGCAAATTTTACTCCATTAATATAGTTTTTAAAATTTGAACTAAAAAATTTAAAAAGTGTAAAATGAAATACACTTAAGTCTATTGGGACAATCTCAGTTCTTTCAATATTTGACATTTTATTCGATTTATTTTTGTTGTTTACTTCCGCGTACATACAAATACCATAATGCATTGCTATATTGGGAAAAGTCCATTAAAGAAACAGTCGAATTTACAAACATCAACTAAGGGTTTATTTTTAGTTGGCATCCTATTAATCAAAAGAAAGGTTTTTCTAGATTTGAAACTGAAAAAAAAACAATACGGGTCAAAATCAAATACTTATTCCCATTTATAAAATTGCTAAACCCTACCCTTTCCTTTCCTATCGCGTGACGTAAATTGTGAACGATCATAAACTTCACTTTAAACATTAGTAAAAAGTATAAGGAAATAAAGTTATAAATTTTTTTATCAAAGAAAAGATTTAAATCATACTTTTTGTGATATTAAACAATAGTTACCTTAGTTACCTTTACTTAGTAACGTACTGATTTAAAATGTAGCGAAATAAAAAAATCTTCTTGAGTTTTAATTATAATTACTGAAGTAAAAATTAAAAGCGCACATTTAAAAAAAGACTCAAAAGTACAAAGTTTACAAAAAAACTACTCAATTACAGTGTCCTGAGTAAATCTAATTAATTTTTTTTCCACCTCTGGTTTTAACCACTGCGCCACAGTTTTTAACCACTGCATCACAGTTTTTAACTTATCATTTATAGCTTATGAGAATAATTGCATTGCTGCAATAAAAATATCCCATAATTTAAGATAGGCGATTGTCTAACGCAAGCAATAAAATAATTGAAAAATTTTTATTGCTTGCTAAAAATTTGTTGATTTTTCGAAAAATATTTTATTCACCAATGCAATTAGGTCTAAACATTTACCAAATGCGTTATTTTCAAATAAAGGATAAGGTAAACAATCTTGTCCTAATAAAAGATAAAACATTATCCATAAAATTGGCAAAAATAAATAATCTATATTTGGTAAAATACATGAAAAATTACCGTGGATTTGCATAAAAAAATGTAAAACCAATAGTAACTACGAGAGTTCTCCAAACTATAACGGTTACAACAAAAATCCTAAAAATATAACAAACAAATAAAATCGTTTTGATGGTTATTAATTATTTATTTTGCTGGATATAATTTACAAAATGTTTTACACATCAAAATACAAACTTTATAAATATTTTATATACTTAAAAGAAGTAAAGATAACATTTAAACACTAACAAAATTTATAAATATATATATATATATATATATATATATATATATATATATATATATATATATATATATATATATATATATATATATATATATATATATATGTAAAAATAATTCTTTTTACTGTGTTCTCTTTCGTAAAAGCCGCACGTCTGGCAACCCTATGCATATATATTTGTGGATTTAAACAAAGGCGCTCAAATGGTGAAAATATAACGGTAAGATATGACAAAATTATTTATCTTAATAATAATTCTAAAATCAATCTTTACAAATAACTAACACTCTTAAAAAAAATCTTTTTTTTTCCATTTATTATAATGGCTATGACTAATAACTCTGAATCCCTTTTTTTTTATAATTTATATGAAACAAATTTCCTTCCTTCAGATAAAAACCTAGGCCCTGAAAATAACTTTTACCGCAGTTTTTTATCCAATTGTTCGTATCATTTTCCCAGCCAACTAGAAGGGTTTCTTTTTAAGAGTGCTCGTGAAAAAAAAAAAAAATAATGAAAAGTGTAATTCTCCACCTCAATATAAGAACTTCCCAACGGGCATTTTTTTTTAAAAGTTACGATCTAAATGTATTTTAAATGTCTTTTAAACGTCTTTTAAACATTAATGTTTAAAAGACGTTTAAAAGACGTTTAAAACACATTTAGAACGTAACTTTTAGAAACAAATGCCCGTCGGGTTTGAAATGCACTTTTGAATAACTTCTAAATCTATTTGAAATCACTAAACACATTTTTAATATAATTTGTTTAACTGAACCTTTGATTACAGTAGATGAAGTAAATAGTAATTTTTATATTTATCATTCTAATATAATTTCTATGGAAAGAAAAACAAATAAGCGCGGGACTGGAGTATTAATTTATGTTCACAAAAATTTTTGGTATCGTTTTAAGAACGATTTGAGCATTTCTCACTGCGATAAAGAAATTGTAACTATTTAAATTACAATCAAATTAAAAACATTTTACTAAGCTGTTGTTATCGGCCACCTCGAACGGGAGGTGTCGGGGTGCCCCCCCAAACCCCTCAATGCTGTTGTATATGCATTTGAGTAGGCACATTTGTACATTTAGCATTTCAGTTGGCAGGTTTAGAAGTATAGTTGGTCAACGTAGTTAAGGAGAGATCGGAAGAAATATTTGGCGTTTAGGCTCTTTTGTTTTCAAAAAATGCCGTTTTATTTTGTGTGCGTTTTGATTGGTTTATTTTTTAAAAAAAACACGAAGTCGTTTTTTTATTTTGTTTACAAATATTTGGAAATTTAAAATCTACGAGTTTAAGATTTTAACTAATTACTTTGGGGCAGCAGTTATATAAAAGCTGAAACTATTTCTTTTGATAATTTATTCAAATGATTATAAAGAGATTATGAAAGTAAATTGCTACGAGCGAAAACTAATGTGAAAACTTTGATTTTAACGTTTTTATTGTTTACGGAAAGATAAAATATGAGGTTTGTAGTCATTTATTGAATATTTTGATGCTGTAAACATGGTAGATTTTTATTTTTAAATAAAAGAGATACTTTTGGAATGTAAAAAATTAACACATTTGTTTCACCTGTTTTCATGACGCTGCCCCGTCGCGTTTTATGTATTTTATTGGTTATTTTATTTTGTTTTATACTTTGATTGAAAAAAGGTTTATGAAAAAATAATAAATTATATAAAAAAAGATTAAATTCTACTTTTTAAGAATATATATAATAGTAATAGTTGAAAATAAGCGAAACACACAAAAAGTTGAAGTTTAAAAACGCAAATTTTAGTTTTTAAGAAATGGAAATTTTTCGGATCTTTCCTTAACTACGCTGAGTAGTAAATATCAAATATTGAGAACCTTTTTTTTTTTTGGTGTCTCTAGTTAGCAAAAAGCACATACAACAACCCCTCCCCACCACGAGAGACCTCTTTGGGACGGCCCTTCACCTGACGGCGTGAGCGAAAACCTGAGCATGTTCTTACAACAAATCATTAAAAAAGGAACCAATAATAAAAAAGAAAGCTATTTAGTCGGAGACTTGAATATAAACTGTTTTCTCTATAGTGACGACCATAAAATTAAGAAATTTATGATGCAATTTTTGAAACAGGGTTAGTTACATTAATAAACCAACCCACTAGGTAATGTTCATCATAATTTCCAGTTTCTTTTGTCATAACTGGAAATGATGATGAACATTAGCCAATTAGAGACAATGTTGTTAACCATATGTGTAACAAAATACAGGTTGAAATATCTGGAAATTTAAGTATGGCAATTTGAACACATAGTTGTAGAACTAAAATGTTTTAAGATGATTGAGATAATTGGATGTGCTTATTTATGGAGGTAGATATCCAACTATACAGAAAATAAGGAGAAAAACAAAATGATGACCTAACCATGCATACTAAGTTGATTATTCTATATTTCTAGACAACTCATTTGGGGAATCCCCTTTGATGATGTGAATAACATTTGAAAATCTAGTGTATTTATTTACTTATTTATCTCAAAAATTTTAAATATTGTTGTTCAATTTCAATTATTGTATTTTTTTTTCGCTCCATATTTACTCTCTCTATATATATGGACATCTACCCCCATAAATGTAGCACAGCTTATTATATTTTTGTCAGTTCCCTGAGATTTTTTTTTTTTTTTGTTTGTTATTTAGGTGCCCCAAGAAGACCTAATGGTCTTATCACAGAGCACCGCGGAAGTACAGGAAGTTCACGCCTCCTTCCTTACCGTGACGCGAAAATATGTCCAGAGCGTTTCGAACCTTTGCTTATAAAGCAAGCGCTCTAACCACTGCGCCACGTCCGCAAAATGTTAGATATTAGATGAGGGGGGGGGGGTTGTATCTGTTTTTTGCCAACTAAAGCCAAGAAAAATTTTTTTTGCTGACTAAGATCTCAAAAAAAAAGAAAAGTTATTTGTTTGCTGATATTTCTCAACTGCCAACTATATCCAATTATGCTGACTTCAGTGTCCAATATACAAGATACCCTTACACCCTCCTTGGGACGCCTCTGGTTGCATCTTCAAGCAATTTATTATCACAATATAATGCATTTTAGTAAACAAATCTTTATGCAATATTTAAATACCTAATATTTTTCTTGTGTTCTCTTGTTGCGCATACGGTTAGAGTACTTTATCAAAACTGACTGGAGTTCATCTTCATTGTCAGTTTCATAAAATAGAATATGGTCTGAAGAAGCAGTTTATATAGTTTTTTCATATATGTTTATATATATAAATTCAATAGATTTTCAAATAAAGAGTTAGATTATGTTGTCTAACATCGACATTTTGTTTATTAATTATGTCTGACATAGGCGTAGAGTATGGGGTGCAACGGGGGCAGACTGCCCCCCTTGAGTTAACTTTGACCCCCATTGAAAATTTGTTTGCCCCCCTTGAAATTTTATCTAATCTTATAATAAATATTATTTCAATTTTTTATTTTTAAACAGAGGAAGAAATTAGAGAAGGAAATTAATTAAAAAGCGAAAAAAAAAATCATCTTTTGCTATAAACATAGCCAAAAAAATTATTTTTAAGATAAAAACTTGAAAAAGTAGTTTAATTTTTTCATATAAAAATGCTTTTTTTCAATAAAATAAAACTTTAGATTGTCTTTTGATCTCAATTTAAGATTTGTTTCACGCTGTTTACTAGTGCTTAGTAATTTTTACGATATAGAAAGTATCATGTCAAAATATCGTTCAAAAGTTTATAGCTTTTACCAGCGGCTCACTAATGAGACTTGCTTGGTTTTCAAGCCTAAAAGACCAAAATGAAAGCGAAAATCGACACCAAATTGGAACATCATTTAAACCTCTTTGACCAACCAGATGGATAATGCGCAAGTTATCTCAAATATCTATTACTAGTAACTGCAGATGACTTCTTACAGAAGTTTTCTGCAGAAAACTTCACGTTTGACTGGAAGACCTTACCACTAACCCTGACTTTACTAAATGCCGAGTGGAAGCAATGACCTATTTGTCTTCTTTTCAGGTTTTTAACACCTTTTATAAATTGGAATTTATTTGAATTATTTTTACAATCCTAGAAGGTTCAAGCATTCAACTTCAGGGAAGTTAACTTAAATTTAGTAAGGCTTAATCTATCATTTAGACCCTGAAACAAATTTTGAAATTTTTGCGTACTCACGTTTCAAAACACTTTTTGATGCGGCAACTGAATCTGCTAAAATGATGGGTTTATACCTGCAAGATTTGAAGTCGTCTTCAAAGATACTTATTATCAGCTAAAGGATCCGAATAAAATCTATAAGCAGTTACACTTTACTGGTTTAGATGCAGTTTTAGTTGGCCTCACCGATAGATTTGAATCAACTGAAACCACTCACTATTTAACATGGATTGAAGAGTTTGTGATTGGATCAAATAACACTGAAATTAACTACATAAAAAACTTCTAAAAGAATAATTTTCCTAATTATCAAAGACTGCAACTTCACCGGGACCATTTCATTGACGAACCTAACAGAAAAAAAAATCAATTGGAAGATTTTCAATCAGTTATAGATTTCATCAGTGCTAAAGAACATATTGGATTGAAAAGAAATGCTTCGGAAATTGTCCTTTTTATTAAAATAATTCTGGACTAGCCAGTATCAATTTGTACAGCAGAATAATTATTTAGTAATCTCCGTAGACTCAAAACGTTTCTTTAATTGACCATGAGCCAGGAAAGGCTGTAATGAATACCCATAAAGAATTTGTAATGAACACCCATAAAGAAATTACCCGAAGTCTTGAAATGAATTTTATGTTAGATATGTTTGTTTTAAAAAAAATGATACGCGCTGTAGAATGTTTTATTTGAAAACCAAGTAAAAATTCAAACTAAACTTGTTTTTCTTGAATTTCTTGATGCTAGTTAACCAAAATCAAAGTTTTTTTTTTTTTTTTTTTCTATATCAAAAAAAAAAATAAAAAAAACACTGGACAGAAGACATATATTTCTCAAAAAAATCGAACCTTTAACTTTTCCCCCTTGAAAATTTTTTTCCCCCTTGAAAATTTAAGTACTCTACGCCCATGCTGACATTTGTCAATTCATTTTGTCAAAAAAATTTTAAATAAAGTTCATATTAAACAGAATCGCATCTTTTCCAAAGCCACAAATTTTAAAACATTAAAAAATATTGTCAAAACAAATCAATGTTGTAAAACACATTTTACCGCAAAATATTTTATTGGAGTAAAAATCTCTTAATGGGAATAAAAATTTAATATGAGATTTTTACTGGGGAGTAAAAATTTTATATGAGATTTTTACTGAGTAAAAAAAAAGCGGGAGTAAAAATTTCATACTACATCGGTGCCCACTTGGAATTGGTTTCTTAACATTACGTTGTTTCTTAATTTAATACTCAATGTTTCAACTGCAGCTATTATATTTTCAATTACATTTAGAAAATATGTAGAACTTGACTTTAAGTTTTTGATAAATCTTAAAATTTTTTATTTTATTTGCATAATTAAAATCTGCATATTGTTTTTAATGTTTAGATTCAAACAGTCTTTGAACTTAAAAAAAAATGCCTAACTTACCTTCTTAAAGATAAAAGACCTTATTTTGAACAGGATGAACATAGTATATGCAATATTTTATTACACTTTAAAAAAAAAAAAAAGTAACTAAACTCATAAATATTTATATTTAGAATAAATTAATAAAAATTCTTTTTTATTTACAATAAACACAAAAAGGTAAATAAATAAAGTGAGATATATCTAAAGTTTGCTTCAATTTAAAAAAATATTTAAACTGCAAAATTTCAAACTTTGCTTTAATGAATGTGTATTTATTATAAGGGAATTTACCAATTTTGTTTAAACTTTAAATTATTATTTATTTTTATTTTTTACTTTTTTATTTCTCATATTAGTATCAGGATATCATTACAATAATTTATTATTTTTAAATAAATTAAATTTAACAGTTAAAAAAAGAATTACCAAAGATATTGACGTTTAAAAAACGGCCAATTCCATTGTCGACAAATGCGTTTAAATGATCGGAGATTGATTTCTTTTTCGCCATAGTCACCTTCCATATTTTACCTATATAATAGCTTTTTTGTATAGTTTACTTCTTTTTTGCCTTTCTTTTCCAACGAATTTTTTATTTGCCTCTATAAATTCTATTTTGAAATTTATTCTTTTATCAAAATATATACTTTTAATTTATGAATCTTTCATTCTGATCAATATTCGAAACAAAAAAAAAAATGTTTTCAGCAAAAACTTTTAATAAGGTATTAATACAAATAGAAATTAACAAATATATTATAAAAAGTTATACGAAGTCAGCACTTCGCTTTTAAATGACTCATTTGCAAAAGTAGTTTAAAATGCTTTGAGTCATAATCTCCCAAATAAACAGTGTATAATAATTAAACCCGTCATTTCAAAAAGGACACAAGTACTAAACTTTTAACAGTTTAAAAACTTCTGTATAATTTATGCTTTTTTTACAAGAAATTAAACTTAGATTTATTATTTATTAATACAGACATTTTTTTATAAAAAAAACACTTTTTTGTTGATTTCGAAAAGTTTTAGCTAGTGGAATTTTTAAAGTGACAGATTAAATTCTTTTTTTAACAGTTTTAAATAATTCTAAATAAAATTGCATATACATTTTACATGCGGACATAGATTTATGTATGTATATATATATATATATATATATATATATATATATATATATATATATATATATATATATATATATATATATATATATATATATATATATATATATATATATATATGTATATATATATATATATATATATATATATATATATATATATATATATATATATATATATATATACATATATATATAATATATATATATATATATATATATATATATATATATATATATATATATATATATATATATATATATATATAAAGAGTTGTATAATAACCTATGTTGTTAAAAAGCAACTTAAGTAATAAAGCAACTTATGTTATTATCCAAATTGATTAACTTCCGAAACCAAATCATCCTTTTGTTGGCAATGAATTGATATTCATTATTTTTTTTGTTGCATATATGTTCAATATTTTTGTTTGATTGACAGTTTTTGTGCTAATTAATAACTTTTTTTTGAAAAATTAACTAAAATTAATGAGAAATAATGAGAAAAATTTACTAAAATTAAAGAGTCTATAAAATACGCAACGCTAAATTTATTTAAAAAACAGAGATTTTTGGTTCTTTTATGCGGCAATTTTCATTAAACTTAATGAGCTATTTTGATTTTTTTTATTTAGCTTGAGGCTCTGCGAGTGAAACTCTTCTACCTTTTTTGTTTTGTTTATAAGTAAAAGTTAACATTGTGTAATTTATGGACTAATCCTAACCTGGGATATCAACCAGGGCGAAAGTTAATAACTAAAATGCCTATTTAAGAAAATGAAATTCATCCTTGTTATTGTTTGTTTTCAATGAAAAAGACTTGCATTAAGATTGCATCGAGAAATCGACATTATGAAATTTTATAGATTTATATTTTTGGAAGTAATTTTCATGAATAAATAAAAATCAATTGCAATTGAATGTTTTTAAAATAAATTTTTGTAATTTTGGGTATCTAGTCATAGTTTTTTCGAAAAAATATTATAACTTGAAACAATTTATAAATCTCAAAGGATGCAGTTTTTTATTTATACTTTAGCTAGCAAGAAACAATGTATTACAAAAACTGGTTACTTCTGTACCATTGGTTATTTCAGTTCAATAAATCATATAATTTGCACAAATATATGATTCTGTTGCATAAATATATGATTATTTGGCATAATTATATTACAGAAGATTTTGAAACTAGAATGTACTTTTAAACAATTGTGATCACAAGGACAAATAATGGATAAGCTATAAAAAAGGAAAGGAAAGCTATAATTAATTTCCCGTTATTGAATTATATTTTGTTAACTTTGGTTCATTAGTTATTAAATAAGTTGTACAATTAATAATAACTCCGAAAATGTAATACAATTATAAATTATATAACAATATTAAAAATGATATTAAATGTTGAGAGGAATAATTTCATAAATTTTGTACGAATATAAAAAGTCATATTAAAAAATTATGTAATGTAAAATTTTAAAAACCTTATACAAAGATATCTTTAGAAAATGTTATCGTGTTTAAAGATTGTAAAAAGTATATTGTATTATTTATAAAAATTATTGGATTATTTATAAAAATTATTGGATTATTTATAAAAATTATTGGATTATTTATAAAAATTACAGTATTAAACCGTAAATGATTTAATTGTAGGATCGGTAGTGAAGCATCAAAAACCCTATTCAAAAATTGGTGGATGATTACAAGCACCGATGGTCAGAGAGTTTGAAGACGATATAAATTCTTAGAGAACGGAAGTCGGCTCAAACATATGAAGTCAACAGAACAACATTGCACAACATTGCAAAACATTGCACAACATTGCGTCTTATTCAAAAAAGGGTTGTCTAAGTACTTTTGAACTACTTGTTAAAAAAGGGTCGTCCAAGTACGTGGTAAAAATAAAAAAAGTCTGGTGAAAACTGGTTGATTACATTTTTGAGACGAAACCAGGATTTATTGATTTGAAAAACATTTTCCCTAAATGTTAGGGTATAGAGCATCCGTGGCGCAGTGGTTTAAGTTCTGGCTAAGAACCAAGAGATCCGAGGTTTTATTCCGGCGCCCTGTGAGAAGACTGTTAAAAGTTTTGAAACATCTTAGCAACCAAAAAAGAAATAAAATAAAATAGTTTTTTTGAATAAAAGTAAGTTCATAGCATCTAGTGCTATAGTTTTTTAAAAAGTTTAACAAGCACGGAAGAAGCAATAGACAAACAAGTCGCCAATAAACTAGCTAGAGAACAACAAAAAAAATGCCTGCCACCTAATGAGAATATTTATCCCAGTCAGTTCAAAGACACCGAGTACTGTATTATTAATGTTACTGTGCTGTATTAAAGTCGTTCTTAAAAAAATATTCGTGATTGATATAAGTTTGCAAATAACACTGTGATCGAAAAATATGTGATGAATTAATTCTAAAAGAGTGGAAGTTAAGCCTTTTTCAGTACACAAAATTAATGTTCGTCGGCCAACAAACTCATACTTCCCAGCAACTATAATTCACAGCAACTATAACTTGGTGCGTAATCACTGCTAAAGATAGTTCTGATTTTAAAGCTTTTACAAATTAATTTAATATTTATGACTAATTAATAAAATAAGTTATGTAGGCACATTACGTAAGCACATAGCACAAATTCTAATACTATAAGTACCTATATTAATAAAACCCTCTGTAAAGGCTTAAAAATTGGAATTTTATACTAGCTGTTTACTTTTTGTCTATTGCAATGTCCTTAGCAACAATATTTCAAGATAAACTCTATAAAAAATGATCTATTATATTGAATCTGTATTTATTGTAGTTAATATATATTCAGTGTGTATGTAACTTTATAAATAAACGATATGATTATAAACCACAAATTTAGCTAGCTTTTAAGGTTGGAATAACAGTATTATTTATGAATTAATTTTTATTGATATCATATTTTGTATGGGTTCTTTTAAAAAAAAAGGAAAAAGTAGGCAATCTGTTCAAAAACATTAAAGATATATAAAAAAAAAAAATCAAAAGATATAACTTCTTTAGAATCATCGTCAGGATTGTCTCTAGAAAAAAACTAAGTGTTAAAACAAATAAGAGTAACATGTCTCCCAATGTCTACAATACTTTTAATTTTAATATAAGGCCTGCGTGTCAATGCATTTATTGTTAGAAACTATGGTAACAACTTCTTCTTTAATATTCAATGAAAAGTACCGACAATTCTTCCAAGTTTTATAAAAACTAATATTCACATTTACAATTACGTTTTTATCGTAGTTGAATGATGCAGTTAGACACATAAAAAATCGTTTGAATTATGTCTTTAATACTAAAATTATTTTATTTAAGTCATTTTTATGCCTAAAAAATGCTGAAAGTAACGGTTTTTCTTATTATCGCATGATAGAAAAGGTCATTGTAAAATGTTATTTTAACCGAGGTTAATTATTGTTTAAAAACCAATGCCAAAATATTCGTGCATGAATATTTTGCATAATCCGAACAAATTAAGTGTGAAAACGGAGTTACCATGTTCAATTTGTTGTTGGTCAAACTTCATACTTTAAAAATATATAAATATATATCTCAAGTAAATAACGAAAAAACATTTGCAATTTTCACATAAACCTAGGTTAACAAAAACATAATAAAGTTTTGCTTTTCCTAAAATTTAGTAAAAAAATTAAATTTTTTAAAAATATTAGCGAAAGAATATTAAGTTATCGCGTTGCACAGTGACTCAAAACAACAAAAAAATGGCAATAAACCCCTCACCACTTTTTTATAAATTAAGTGCCCTTTGTTAGTTAATATTAAAAGACAATGATTTTTTATTTCAAAAGTAAAAATAATTTTTTTATAAAGCTTTTATTTTGTATTTTATAGGTAAAAGAAGTGAAAAAACTTGATATTATTTTTAAAGAAATCTGAAAAATGTGAGGTTTTTATTCAACTAAATTAGAGAACTTGAAGTTTAAATAAAAGTGTATATTTATTTTTAAAATAATATTTTGACTCTATATATTTCAAGTATACTAAAAAGAAAAAAAAAAGGCTGATTTTTTCGTTTAAATTTAAAGACTTCTTTAAAAAAAGTAGAAAATAATTGTATTTTTTTTGTTTATATATCAGCTAAAAAAATGTTCCACCGAGTTCCACAAATATATATATATATATATATTTTCCAGTTAATTAACATTTCTACTTTAGGAATGTGAAAGGATTACTGCGGTCTCCTGCGGTATTGGAAGTTATTAAAGAAAAACAAATGTTGATGATTTTATAAAAACCTTGTTTTACGCCACTTTGCTAAGAACTTTATTTTATCAAAACAAATGAAATTAGCGGGAAACTTAAAGTTAAGTTTCTTGCGTGTAGAACTTGTTCTAATATAGTTTTTAAATCATAAATATTAAATATAGTTTTAAAAAACGTGCTTTTGTCATTATATACTAAAAGTTTGATATAATATTTATTGAAAATTTTAAAGAACGATTTATTATTCGATAAGTACAACATGTTTGAAAAAGCTTAATTGAACAACTTTGGTATTTCCCGTTTCAAGAAATACCAAATTGTTACATCCTGTAATAACACATATTACTTAGTTAACACATATTACTTAGTTATTTCATGATGTAACAATGTGAAAAAATGTTAAAAGTCATAACTAGAGAATATTTGAAACAGTGTAAAGTAAAAAAATGCGTAATGTAATTTAAAATGTGTCTAATATATTAGTTTTATTATATTGATGGTTCTTAAAAACGATAACAATGAAAAGATTAGATCTTATCCCAAATACACGTGAATTAGGAGTTGATAAATTAAATTATGGAAGGATTTACTTAATGAAATAAAAAATACTGAAAAAATTCGCAAAGAAAATTTAAATAAAGTTAAGCTTGCTTTAGTTATATTTATTTCAAAGGTGAAAAAAAAACTAAAACAATGTGGACGATACTATGATACATTTATACAAAAAGAAAATCGTTGGCTTCAAAGAAATCTTATGAACAATAAAAATAGCCATTTTGGTTCTGGAATGCCCAATAAACAATGGAGTGTTCTTGGAGAGAGAAGCAAAAGAAAAAAATAAAAGAACTAGCCACTGAACATCATGAAGCTCTATTTTTAGCTTCTGCAAAAAGTGCAAATGCTGCTGGAGAAAAAAATAAGCCTCTGTTTTAAAAAACAATATATCTAATGTTTTAGAGATAGAAAAAGTTGATAAAACGTTGGATAAAACCTTTCCCATTAACATGAGTGTAGAGGATGCTCTCGCATTAAAAATGATTACTGATCTCAGCGATAAACAATATCAAATGATCAGAAACTCAGCTCTTGTACACAACGTACATATTTATTCTACCTTGCACGATATTTTCGTGAAAAAATTGAAATGCTATCCTGAGAATATACATTTTTCTGAAATTTCTGCAAAGCGTACTCTTCAAAGCATGTTAGATCACACTGTGAGTAGAATAACAGAAATGATTGATATGCCTAATTTTGGTCAAAGTGATAAAATATTTGGAGTTTTATATAGAAAGATTGGTTTTGATGGAGCATCAACCCAAAGTATTTATAAACAGAAATACGATACAAGCAACGCAAGTATAGAACTTAAGCATGAAGAAAATCTTTTCAGTACAGCTTTTGTGCCTTTATTGCTCAAAGTAGAAGATGGCGAAATTTGGAAAAATGAAAATCCTTCAAGCTGTCATTTTTGTAGACTTCTTCATCTACAATATAAAAAAGAGAGCCAAATTTTATCCAGAGAAGAAGAATCAGATCTAAAAAATCAAATAAATACCTTAAAGACATTTTGCGAAGTTTTTAATATTGCGGGAAGAATTTTGACATTGAATATTAGCTATAGAATTGATCTTACAATGTTTGATAAAGTAGTTAGCGCACTTACAGAGACAAAATCCACTCAATCCTGCAATGTGTGCAATGCCAAACCCAAGGAAATGAACAATATTGATTTATTAAAAGCAAAAACTGAGAATGACTCGGCCTTGGGGCTTGGAATTTCAGCTTTGCATTGCTGGATAAAATGCTTAGAGTTCATTCTTCATTTGAGTTATAAAATTGAAATTAAAAAGTATAGGCCAAAAACAATTGAGGAAAAACTATCTGTAGACTTAAAAAAAAGAGCCTATACGTTGATCTGCCTAAAACTGGGTATGGAAACACGAATGATGGTAACACTGCCAGAAGAGCATTTAGCCAGCAAACAATAGACGTCTTTTAGACCGTCTAAAATTGGTCTAATTTGTATCTATTGCTGATACGTATATTTTAGACGTATATTAGAGATCAAAAAGACGTCTGATTCTAGAGATACTATTTTTGCTCTGTTTTAGATGCATATTAGATGCATAAAATAGATCGTACATAGATAATTTTTTTTTCATCTAAACTTAGATGTCTATAAGATGTCTTTTATAGATTTGTTAAAAAAAAAAGCAAAAATTTTTAACTAATTTTACGGAGCGATAATTATAAATGACCGCCATTTAAAAACCATGCAGAGACTTATTTTGAAAAAAGCATGAAGATTTTAACCTCTGGAAGACATTAATGATTATTTCTTTTGATAAATTTTAAATAATAAAATAACATGCTATTATAGTTAACAAAATATTTCGATGATTTGATGCTTAGCATGTTTTCTGAAATCCTTGTGATTTGAAATTTATTTTGCAGAAATATTATAAATTTAATATTTTCAAGTTGATATTTTTATTTCTAGAATAAAAGATAATGTAATTTATATATATATATATATATATATATATATATATATATATATATATATATATATATATATATATATATATATATATATATATATATATATATATATATATATATATATATATATATATATATATATATATATATATATAAAACGCTCTGTTTTTGAAAAACTAAATATTTCTTAAATATTGAGCACTCTACAACGATCAAGAGTTTAGTATTTTTAATACTAAATCATACAACAATATATATATATATATATATATATATATAATATATATATGTGTATATATATATATATATATATATATATATATATATATATATATATGTGTATATATATATATATATATATATATATATATATATATATATATATATATATATATATATATATATATGCGTGTTTTTGAATAACACAAAAGATTGTTTTATTGGTTGTGCACTTATCGTTTTTATCAAGGAACAAAGATTCATTTATTTCTTTTACAAAAAGGGCATACGAAAAGAGAGGCGGTAGACAAGTTCAAAAGGAATATTAAAAAATACTAGAATTTTCATCAGTACATAGAGAAAAAAAATCGAATGTTGAAACTTCTAAAAGAAATGATTTCTTATCTTGCGAAAATCTAAAAGAATATTTTGACCATCATGAATCATCGATTTTGTACAATGAATACTCTTATGACCTAAAGCCTAATGAGTATAAGCATAACCCAACTTTAAAGGAAGGTTTTTCTGCATGTTTTTCTAACCAAGTAATGTTGCACTAAACAAGTGGATTGACAAAGAATAGCAACAAATTTATTGTCCCAAAAAAAACTATAATCATGCACTGAAAAACAACCTTTCGTCAACAAAAGAATGGCACAAATTTCCATTGATAAAGTCTAAGATAACAGATGGTCAGTATCTAACTTGTTTTGTGTTTTTTTTAAAGGTAACTTAATTACTTTTTTGTAGCAAAATGTTTTATAATTAGATTCATTTTCATGTTGTGAAGAATACAACTTTCTACATCAGATGAGATATATGTTAAAGAAAGCATTAAAAATAAGAATAACAAATCATACCGCTCTTCATTGCCAGAACCTCCGCCACCTATTATGAATAAGCCCAATGCTAAAAGTATAACACAAATATCATAATTTTTTCTTAATGGTTTATAAACTGAAATAGATTCTTGTTTAATTTGATCTGAATAATATCTATCTAGCTATTAGTCTTTTTTATGTATTACTAAGATTTTCCTTTTATTTTAACTATTTGGGTGTCCTATTATATGTAATGTTGTTAAATTGGTTACATATATTTATATCATTGACAACATTCTATTGTATTAAATAATCCTTTAATCAACTTGATATGAAAGTTGAAAGTTGATTGAAAGCATGCTGAAATTGTTTGAATTGAGAAATTGAAAGAGTACAAAATTGGTTGAAAGATTAAATTAAGTAACAGGTATGATTTAGGGATTATTTATAGTTCTAATTTTAATTATTTCTTTTGAATAGAGTTGTTATCAGATTCAGAGATTGAAGAAGATGTTTTTTCTTCACATTTTGTTGATGAACACAATAAAACCAAGCAAAGTTCACATTGTCAAAGAGTTTCAAGTTTTAATGTGAGTAGTTTTGGTTTTTACACCACTGAATGTAAATGTGGAGATCTTTTTTATTAATTTGTTTTTGTTTTAAAATAATTGTAAAAGATAGGTATAAAAGAATACAAATGGATTATTTATTATATTGTGATCTGATAAATCATGTGTGTAGCATTTAGTCAACTTTACCTTTAGTAGTTAAACAAAATTCATTAATATTGTGACCTTTTACTGGAGGAAATATCAAGAATTGCTCCGGAGCCAAGCCCAAAGAAAAATACACAAAAGTTATCACCAGGGCTGTGGAGTCTGAGTTGCAGAGTTGAGACATTTTCAGCGGAGTCGGAGTCGCTAAACAAAATTGCGACTCCGACTCTAATAGTAAAAATTCTCGGTATTGTACGTGCATGTACAAAACATTCAATTAACGTTATGTTCATACTAAACCTCAAAGAACGTTTCATAAATTTGTCAAAAAAGAAATTTTTAACTTATCCCCTAATATTTTTAAAAGAATTTGAAGAATTTTTCAAAAATGTTGCTATGGAGTTGTAATCAAAGTTGGAGTTAGAGTCGGAGTTGCGCTCAAAAAATTTCAACAACTGGAGTCGGAGTTGGAGTTGTACTCAAAAAGTTTCAACAACTGGAGTCGGAGTCATTACTTTTTTTTTACAACTCCACACCCCTGGTTATCAGTAACAGTTTGACATAAATCTGAATATTATTTGTTGTTGTTTATTTGTCAAAATTAAATAAGAATTTCTTTAAAACTTGAATGTTTAATTTATTTTAAGCGGGCTTAACTATAACTTAAGTGGATTATTTTTTTTATTAGATTATTATTGCAAAGTAGTTTGTTTAGTCAAAATTATTTTTTATTAGGTTTCCAATCTGTCTTATTTGCCTTTGTCTGATTCTACAGATAAAGTTTTAGATGATTTAAAAGGTAGATTTTCCAAAATATTATGGCAACTTCTGTGATGGAGTAATAAAAAAAAATAACATGTATTTTTGGAGTTTTAGTTTAAGTTACTCAAGCATAATTTGAATTTTAAAATTGTTATTTTATTGTTTTGCTATTTGGTTTTATGAGCTAAATATGTTAATCAATCTTTTTATTCTTGTTTGTAGAGATGCAAAATGTTATTCTCAACGAGCTTGCAGAAATAAAAGTTCTTTTAAAAGAAGTTATAGAAATTAAGTTTCAGGCTACTGAGGTGAAGTTGCTAGAATCAGTGGATGAAGTGGTTACACTGGATAATAAACTAAAAGATAAAACCGAGTATACTAATTTGGTAATCTAATTATCTTAATTTTTAATAAGTTAGTTTAAATTTGGTTTATTAGTTTAGAATCTAAATGAAAAGTATTTGTAAATGAACTAAAATAACTAGCTTTTGTTAGACTCAATATGTTGTAAAGAAATTTAAGTTACACCAATTTTTATTACATTTATTTCAGCTTGATAGTTTGAAAAAAATTGGTGGCAGAAAGCCAAGAGAACATGTTTTTTTGATCATGAAAAGGTAAATGGTTATGTTTTTATTAATTATTAGAAATATGATTAAAAGGGACCAAAAGCAATACATTTTGACCGTTATTTGTTATGGATTTACTTTTAACATGAAGATTTGATAAACTCTGTAGCTTCACTGTAGGTGTTTAAGTTAGTGCGCTAAAGTAAGTGTAATGCTAAACCTTGTTTAGCATTTTATTTTCAAATTTAATGCTTATACCTTTCATAGTTTTAATCATTCATATATTAAAATATATTTTAATTTATTACATATATTAAAATAAAAATCTTTATAAATATATTTCAGTTTATTGTTAAAATATTTATCAGGTTATTTTCGAATCAGTTACAGTCCAAATTAAATCGAAAAGGAAGTGGGGAAAAGATAAACTTAGAAAATCTAGTAAATATATGGAGTGTTTTACGAGGTATAGTTTTAATAGTATTTACAAAACTGATATCTGTATTAAAAAGATATTCTTCGACTTTTTTGTGTCATGCCATAATTTTTGTATCCATAATACAAGTTCCTTTAGTTTTTTCATAAAACAATTGTTGTTTATTATTGTATCTGGTTGAGATACAAGTCTTCTTGTTTATATATATATATATATATATATATATATATATATATATATATATATATATATATATATATATATATATATATATATACATATATATATATATATATATATATATATATATATATATATATATATATATATATATATATATATATATATATATATATATATATATATATATATATATATATATATAATATTTCATAAAAATAGATTATTCAGAATTCTACATGTCTTTTAAAGTCATTTAAATGTCATTAATGTATATATTTTAGATATCGGCGACGTGGAAGATGTTGACGGCAATGCAGAAATATAGTTTCTTATGTATATTTTTGTGAAATAAAATTAAGTAATTTAATTAAAATGTTTCTTTACTTATTTAATTTAATCATTTTTTATGACTAATTTAACCGCTATAAAACCTTTGTATCAAACAAGTCCCAGCAAACAAAAAGATATCTAAAATGCATTTAATATGCATCTAAAAACTAGTCTAAAAGACGTCTAAATTCACGTCGTGAACGGGACATAAATAGATGTCTATCTTTTAGATGTCTTTTAGATGCATTTTATTCGACACAAATAAATGCCTTAGATGCATAAAAGATGTGAAAAATACATTTAAAGATGTATATTAGCTGTATATTAGATGTATAAAAGAGCTATTATTAGCTAAAAAAAATTATCTATTATTTATCTTTTTTAAACGCGCCTTAGACATCTATTTAAGAGACGTACTTTATACATCTAATATGCATCTGTAAGATGTATATTTCACATCTTTTATGCATCTAAGGCAATTATTTGTGTCGAATAAAATGCATCTGAAAGACGTCTATAAGATAGACGTCTATTTATGTCCCGTTCTAGACCTGAATTTCGACATCTTTTAGACCAGTTTTTAGATGCATATTAGATGCATTTTAGATATCTTTTTGTTTGCTGGGTAAAAATAGTGAAGTTTTTTTGAAATTACTAAATTTGATTGTGATATAATTAAAAGATTGCATAATATTCTCATAACCATATCTTGTGGATATCCTATTAATATCAATGAATTAGATTTATACTGCACTGAAACAGCTAAACGTATAGTGAGTTTATACAACTGGTATGTTATCCGGTACATAAACTGCTACTGCATAGTTCTTCTATATCAAATAAATTACCTTTGCCAATCGGGATATATTCGGAAGATGCACTAGAGAGTTTAAATAAACAGATAAGAAATTCTAGACTTTAGCACACGGCAAAAATATCAAGGTTAAACACAATGATGAATCAGATGCACTACCTTCTAGTAAGATCAGATCCAAAATATCAAGCATATCTTTTAGAAAACATAAGTGCTATGGAGGAAAACCGTTACCAGATGAAGTTTTTAAATTAATTGTAATGTAAATAACAAGTTTAATGTAAAAAAATACAGTATTTTTTCTCTATGTATCAACATCCTTTAAAAACCATTTTTATAAAAATATCATGTAGAGTAATATATCAAAATTATGTGTTTGTCTTGAAGATTCTAAAAACTAAAAAAAAATATTTTGTACGCGTGCAGTCACCTTTAACACGCGTAAGCGCGCATTTTACGCGTCGAAGCTGCGCGTAAAAAAAAAAATTATTAACAAATTTGAAATCTTTGACTTAAAAATTATTATTTTAATATATAACATTATTTATTTACGATTTATGTCAATTTTTATTTAATTTTTGCCGTTTTTTGATTTTTGACTGAGCCACTGAGCGTTGGTTTGACAAGGTTTTAACTGATCCGTAAGAAGTTTTGAGTAAATCGATGTCAAAAATAGTTATTTTCTTACCGTAAAATTTTTTTTAGTATCATTTGATAATAAATAAAATATACGGATTGCTTATTTTATGACTGATTGCAGTTAATTTTAGTTTATTTTATTTGTCATGATACAAATAGTCCAATAAAGTCATAATCTCAATTTTTGAAAAAATATTAGTTAGAACCTTGTCAAACTAATGCGACAAAATGTTAGGTTTTTTACATTTAAAGTTTTGACTAACTATACTTAGTTACAGGGGCGCACAGAATGTGGGAGATCCGGGTCGGATTTCCTAGGGCATCACTTTTATGAGGCATTTTCAGAAAACAAACAAAAATTATCAGTTTGCCAAATAAAAATTGAAAATATGCAATAAAGAAATAAAAAATTGTTTACTTTGTTACCTTCATCCATTAGATTAAAAAAAGATTTCAAGCTCTGAAATAGCAATGTTAATTATTTTCCTTTACCTGGTCTACGCCTGACATCAATTCGAACTTAACAAACAGTCAAGAAATTAAAGTTAAAGATTTCGTTTTTTTGAATCCAAATGATCTTAGTGAAGACAATTTTATTAATGAGTTCCGCCACTTTTTATCTGTTTGACTACATCTACTGACAAATGATCAACCCTTAGATTTTTTGATTAGCGTTTATGTAGAAATTTAAAGGAAATTTACCCAAGGTATGTAAATGTCTTTGTATCTTTCTTAATTTGCCAGTATCTGTGGCTGAAAGCGAGAGATTTTTAGTTTTTTTTTTCTTTCAAAAACAAGTTATGTAAAAGAAGATTACATCAAAAAGTAATTAAAGTTAGCTATCGTCAAGAACTCTCTAAGAGCTAAGACACGATCGTCTTAACGGCTGCCTTATCCTTTCAATCGAAAGAGATCTTGCAAAGAAAGTTATTTATGATGTTGTAGCTTACAACTTTGCTGGTAGAAAAGCTCGTAAAGTCTTGGCATAACGTCAGAAAAACTTGATAGCAAATCATTGCAACTTTCAAAGGGTTTAAAAAAATTCCAAAGAAGAAAATTATTTTTCATCACAATTCCCTCAGGAGTCAAAATCTCTCCAAATTAGGGATGGCACTTTTACTTATTTTGATGTAAAAACGCAAATTACTTTTAAGCGCAAATTACTTTACATAACTTATATAAAAATATATAACTTACTTACATTTAAAAGTAATTCGTTTTTTTTTTTACGTAAATTATATAACGTGTAAAACTCAATTATTTAAGTTAAGTTTTTTAAATGAGTAACTGTTAATTGAAAAAGAAATTTACCTTTACAAGTAAAAGTTATTTTCATTTTTACTTTTACTTGTAAAACTAACTTTTTTAAACGTGTATTATATAACGTGTAAAACTCAATTATTTAAGTTAAGTTTTTTAAATGAGTAACTGTTACTTGAAAAAGAAATTTACCTTTACAAGTAAAAGTTATTTTCATTTTTACTTTTACTTGTAAAACTAACTTTTAATGGTAAGTCGTGTAAAGTAAATTACTTTCAAAAGTAATTTTGGTTATAATTATGTAAAAAATTTACATCGAAATGTAATTTACTTTTTAAATGAAAAAAAGTTATTTATGAAGTAAACTTACGTAAATATAATATTTAAAAAACATAACACTTACTTTACCAAGTAAAATAAAACTACATCATAACAACAAATTACTTTTACGTGTAAAAGTAACTAATTAGCATTAATTAGCTTACATAAAAGTAATTTGAAAAAAACTGTATTTACTTTTACAAATAAAAGTAATTTTTTTTTTGAAATTTTATACTGTACTTTGTAAGTAAGTAAAATGTAAGTTACATTATTTACTTTCTTAAAGAACAGTCATTTAATGTTGATTTAACGTAAATTTTGAGATAGGTAGCGTAGTCAAATCCATTTTCTGTTTGAGGGCGCTTCTGGGTGCTACTTCAGGTATGTGGGCAAGTATGTGGTGGGGCATCAGGAAAAAATTTTTTTTCACGTATATCAGAAAGTGTAGTTCTATTATAATTAGAGGCAAATATAGTCATGCGGGAATAACACCCAGTGGGCATTTCGACGTCGAACGAACGTCGAGCAACGTCGGATCTCGACGTCGGATCGACGTTGGGTTTACGTTGGAAATGGAAATGTTATTTGACGTCGGATAAACTGACATCGCGCGACGTCGGCATTCCGATGTAAATCCAACGTGTTTTTTGAAAACTATAAAACGTTGCCTTTGGCAGGAATCGAACCTTGGTCTATTAGATACTAAATCCTACGCGCTAACCACTACACCACAAGGACATATAAGTTAATGTGTTTATTTAGTAATCTATACTTGTAGCTATTTGGGAATTATTACTTTGATAAGAAATAATTTTGTTTAAATATTATATAAATATTAAAACGAATAGTTATATATTATAAAAAATGTATACTCGAAAATGTTAATAGTTAAAAAACTATGCTAGTGCATCATACAAAACCTCATCATGTTTTATCAACTATTATTCAAACTTTTTTCCATTAATAAAAAAACACGCTTAGTTCACATAATTATTGAAGAGCGCAATTGCACACATATTGTTGGGTTTGGATTAAATTTTCATCAGCGATGTCTTACAACGTTGTTCCGACGTCGTTTTAAGGACGTTGGATTGACGTCGGAAGACGTCAAAAGACATTGGAGTACGTTAATATTATGACGTTGCCCGACGTCTTTTTATCGAAGTTGGATCGATGTCAGTACTGCGACGTTTTTTGGACGTCTTTTATAAGATGTCGGAACAACGTCAAAATACATCGAAACGACGTCAGGGGATGTTGAGATAAAGACATCGCCCGACGTCATTTTACTGACATCGGAACAACGTCGGAATAGGTCTTTTGACATCGCTGATGAAAATCGTACGTAAATCCAACGTCGGATTGACGTCGTGTGCCCACTGGGCAGTAGTGTAGAGACGGGAACCCTGCCGCATGAGTGCTAATAGAAGCTGGTAAATAATCATTGATTTTTTATTTTTATTTTTTTTTTTTGCTAGTAGAAATAGGTTAGTGGTCATAATGAAACTTTGTCGGGGGAGAAAGGGAGCATAATTTCTTAGCTATGGGTAATTCATGCACGTGTAAACCCTGACTAAATCACTGTTCGTTAGAGCGCGCTTTTTCTCCAGTTTTTTTCTTTGTATTTGCCTTTTCAATCAAGTATTTTGTTATGGTAATATGACGCAATATAATATTTTTGGTACCCGCAAGGACATCGACTGCTACAATAGTTTTCAAAAAATTATAAGTCATTTAAACTATAAGTTATAATTTATATGATTAAAGGAGTGTTTATCAGATATAATCTTTTATTGCGTTTTATCATATATAATGAAATTATATTGCGTTTTATCATATATAATGAAATTTCTATTTGAAAAAAGATGGTAAGAAAAGCTGTTTAATCTTCTAATATAGATTGTGGGCACCCTAATAGCCTACTTTTTGTTGCGTTGGTGTCCAACCCGCACAAGGACAATAGGACAAATAAAATCTTATTCAATTAAAATAGCGCTTTAGAATAAACTTGTAATTTTTTTTTTCAAACTTTATTTTGGCTTTACAAGATGTTTGTCGGTTATCAGTTGTCCCGGAATCTTGCGATTGATTTTTCACTATCTTCCGGACTAGCTAGAGCTCTGAAACTTCCAGCATATGTGTAAATTTTTTTTTTTTTTTTTTTTTTTTTTATTTGCATTCACTCCCAACAAGGCTGCAAGCAACCACTATTAAGTTGGGAGTTACTAGGAAAAAAAAGAACAGAGTTATCGAGCAAGGAAACGGTTGACAGAAGACTTGAAAAGTTGAAGGTTGTAGGAGTCAGGAAAACATGAAGATGGGAGAGAGTTCCAAAGGATTGAAGTGCGGGGAAAAACACTAGATGAATAAAAGTTTTTAGAGCATGCTGGGACAGATACAGTAAACGAATGAGACTTAGCTGAATGACGAGTAAAACGAGAATGAATTTTAGTTGATGGAACTAGAGGTGATAACTCCTTTGAGCAGTGACCATGATAGTATCTGTAGAAAAGAGAAAGAGATGCAACTTTACGACGATGGGAAAGAGGTTCAAGCTTAGCAGATAGTCCAGGTCCAACAACATTTACAATGCGTTTTTGGACCTTGTCAAGAAGAGAAAGTGAATTGTTAGAAGAACCAGCCCAAATATGACAACAGTATTCCATACAGGTACGAATAAGAGATTTGTAGAGGTAGAGAATGGAATCAGAAGTAAGGAAATGGCAAGCACGATAAAGAGAAGCAACCTTAGCAGAAGCTAATTTAGCAATCGACTGTATATATGGTTTCCATGAAAGGTCAGTAGTAAGCGATAATCCAAGAAGACGTAAAGAGGACGACTCAGTAAGAGGATTGCCATTCATTAATATAGGAATGTTGACCATACTACGGTAGTTGTTTGCAGTAAGCAATTGGGTTTTTTTAGAGTTGAAATTCACAAGCCACTGTGAACCCCAATCTATTACTGAAGTGAGATCAGATTCAAGATCAGCTGCTTGTTCTAGGCGATCGAAAAGAGAAGACTTTTTGTCAAGACAGGAGTATAAAGTTGAGTAATCAGCAAAAAGAGCTACTTTAGATGAAAGGTTGTCAGGAAGATCGTTTATGTAGATAAGAAACAAAACAGGGCCCAGGATGGAACCTTGGGGAACCCCAGAAGTTACTGGAAATAAAGAAGAGTGTTGGCCTTCAAGGATGACTTTAATAAACCGGTTAGAAAGAAATGATTTGATAATCTCAAAAACTTTCCCAGAAACACCATATGAAGCAAGCTTATGGAGAAGACCAGCATGCCAAACTTTGTCGAAAGCTTTAGATATGTTGAGAGCAATAGCCCTAGCCTCACCGCCTCCATCTAATGCACGATAAAATCTTTCAGTTACAGCAGTTAGCAAGTCGGCCGTAGAGCGAGAGGATCGAAAACCGTATTGATTGTCTGACAGCAGTTTATTTGACTCAAGATGAGATGTGAGGAATTTGTTGATCAAAGACTCAAAGACCTTGCTAATAACAGAAAGAAGACTGATCGGACGATAATTGGAGGGGTCAGAATTTTTTCCAGAGTTTTTGAATATTGGAACCACAGATGCCATTTTCCAACAAGCAGGAAAACAAGACTCAGTCAAACACTTGTTAAATAGTTTAGAGAGAATTGAAGAAAGTTCTGGAGAACAATTCTGCAAGACTGTGACAGGAATGTTGTCTGGACCACAAGCTGTGGACGAGTTTAATTGAGAAATGACTTTAGCAACAGAAGCCGGTTTGATTTGAATGTCTAACAATGGGTCAACCTGTTTGACTGGAATGGAAGGAAGAGAATGTCCATAAGATTCAAGAGTGGAATTAGAAGAACAGTTCTTTGCAAACAGTTCTGCCTTATCCCTGGGAGAGGTAACAAGATCAGTCCCATGAATGAGAGATGGAATGTTAGATCTACCCTTGTTAACAATGTTGTTGAAAATTTTCCAAAAGTCTTTAGAGCCTAACTTCTGCAATAAGATGCGAGATTTAGTGAACTGAGAATAATGGAGTTTAGCATCAGAAAGCACCTTTTTACATCGATTTCTTGCAATAATAAATAGCCATTTGTTCTCAAGAGAGTTGTTCTTTTGAAGAAAATGAAAAAAATGGTTACGATTGGATATAGCAGCCGCACAAGAAGGAGAAAACCATGGAGTAGAATGAGGCTTGACTTGAAACCGACGAGAAGGAATAAAAGCTTCCATTCCAGCCTGAATCCAGGAGGTTACGTAGGAGGCGCATTTGTCAGCTGAGAGAGAAAAAACATCAGCCCAAGGACCATCACGAAGAAAATCACGAAAGGAATCCCAGTCAGCTTTAGGGTAGTAGTAGGTGGTGCGATGATAAGGTGAGCCCAAAAAAGAAGTACGAGAAGAAAGATTTACAGAGATCATTGCGTAGTCAGAACCACCTAAGGGAGAAAAGGGAGAAACTGAACATAAGCTAGGGTCAGAGACAAGACATAAGTCAAGGAGTGAAGGTAAATGATTAGGGTTGTCAGGAAAACGAGTCACAAAGTTAACTATCTGAGTAAGAGATTGAGAAACGCAGAAGTTAAAGGATTTTGTGCCAGCAGGATCAGTGGTTTAACAAAATTAAATTTTAACAAAATTAAAATTTAACAAAAGTAAATCTTAAAATTGTATTCAGAGCCAACTGGAAAACTCCACTTTTTGGAATCTCTTTTTTTTTTATAATTATTTTACTTTATCTTTTAGACTTTACTTTGATCTTACTTTATCATGACAGCACTTGGGTAGTCCCAATGAAATTGCATTTTAAATTTGTTTCCTGCAAAGAAGGTTGTACCCTTTATTTTTTTCTCTAATATTTTGTTTTTCTCTAATAATTGAGGTCTTTAACTTTTTAGAAAGAATGATTTTTGCAAAAAACCTTTAAAAAGGCAATTTTTTTGGTTTATTTGTTTTAGTATTAATTTTTTTGTCGGGAGGAAATAAGTTAATGGCCCTGATAAAAGTTTACCATAAAAGAGTCGTGCATATTTGTAGCTATGCTGCTGCTTTTTGCTTCTCTTAATCAGTGTGGTGGTTGTTAACGCTAATGCGCTCAAGTGCATATATAACAGCTTGGGGTGTGATACCCCCTTCACCACCCTGGTCCTGGTCCTAACAACCACTCTAACAGAAATGAAAATTTTTTTTTGTTTTTGTTTATTTATTAATATCTATTCATAAAACTGTTGTCTGGAATTAACTAATTTCAAATAGTCTATTCCAGACATTAATTATTCCTTTATTATTCTATTATCTAACAATTATTCTAGTAAGTCATTTCAAGAAATAACTTTGATTTTGGTTAGATTGATTTTTAACAACAACCACGCTGAATAAAAGAAGCCAAAATGCAAAACTTAGAACAAAATTTAAAAATGAAGAGCCATTTCCAAAGCAAGAACAATAAACCAGACAGTCTTTTAAAAAAAATATTTAAATAACTGATGTAAATAACATTAAAAAAGTTAAAGATAAAATAGTAAAAGTAACTTTAAAATTAAGTTAAAAAAAATTTATAACTTTTCATAACTACAACAACCGCTTATTTTAATTTGTTTAATATAACGAATTTAGTAGGATGGTTCAAAAAAGCAAAATACTTTTTAAATTACTGGTTAAAATACTTTTCCTCATTTTCAGTTAAATACAAAGTTTTAAAGTAAAATTTCAATTCTTCTCTTTAAGTAGCATCGAGTACAGCAAGTTTCTCGAGCTTAAGTTACTTCTTTCTTTGCGATGAATAAAGTTAGCAACACTAAATGAGGATTCTGGCCGTACCGAACTAGCAGGTGAAGTGCATACCTCTCTTGCTTTAGAGGCTAACATTGGAATATCGTTTTCATACTTGTACCAAAACTCATCGAATTTCCAAGTTTTTGCTTTTATAGTATAATTGAAAAAGGATAACCCCTCTTTTATATTTTGCTTTGACTGTGTTTTTTCTTCGCACATTAAAACCACATAATGTTGCAAGCTTAGCAAACCCATTTTTGCGTTTAACAGGAACTTCAGGTGAAACATGAAATTGAACATCATTACTTGAATCAATCATATCTAAAAATGAAAACAAGTATTTATATTAGCTGAAATGTAATCTATTTTTCAACAACACTGAAAATGTAAAAAAAGTAAAATTTTTATATAAATTTAAAAACAAATGTTTTTAACAAACATAAATTTTAGGTTTATAACTAACCACTTCTCGAATAATTTTGTTCATTTTGCAAACAAATGCTTGTATGCGTTGATCTTCGAGGATATTGTCGGAGTGCTGACTTAGCAAATTTTTTCATAAGTTTGCTTTCTGCTTCTTGATATTCTTTTTCTGTAAGACACTTGTTTGTTCTCGGATCAAAGAAATATGCTAGCAAACTTTGCAGCTTTTGTTTTGTAGACATCTTTTCAACAAAGTATACCTTCATGAACTTGAGAAGACTAGCTTGTAACATGTTCTCTCTTTACACCGTAGGAGATGGTTGTAAAAGAAAACATTTAGCTGAAGATTCATTTTCAAGAAAGCTCATTAACGTATTTTGGACGAATTTTGCTAAGGAAAGTGTTGGAAAATTTTTAGTAGAGAGAAGTTTAGTTGCTTCAAAAAATGGAGCAAGGTTATAATGTAAAATGTCTAGGAACTTCCAGTCATCTGATAACAAAGCTAGTTTCTTGAGTTTATTAATCTGTTTTTCTGTTAACCCATCGATAGTGCCAGGATCTATGGTAGTTTTATTATAAACATATTTTGCTTTTATTATCTTACTAATCATCAAAAACGTTGAGTTCCAACGTACATGAAAATCTGACGAAAAGTTTTTTAATTCCAGTCCCTGCTTCTTAATCTCACTAAAAACAAATGATTGCAAAACAGAATGTTGTTTAACATTAGCTATCGTCTTTCTTAACCTGAATATTATGCTTGAAGAATAAATGAATATCTGTTCAACATTTTCATTGGTTGACGCCTGCTTCTCCTTGCTACTTTCTTCATCATCTAAGCTAACGTCTTCTTTGTCATAAGTGCATGCAATTTCTTCTTGATCGTCAGATGAAATATTTCCATTTGATTCGATATCGCTTTCATTATAACTTTTGTAATATATAAGATCTTCATCTACATCCGCTGTACTATCTAATAAGTTATGTGATGGTTTAGTCCACAATTTGATTCCATGGTTCAAAACAAGATTTAAATTATAACAAATGCATGAAAGTCGTAAAGCAATAGATCCCATCGCCTTTTTAATATCTTCAGCGTTGTCAGTTGTAATTGAAATAATTTTAGGTTCAGTTTCAAGCTTATTAATTTCTTTTTGTACAAATGCTGTAAGTCTATTACTTAATTGCCTTCCATAAAACCTACGAAAACAAACTATTTTTGATTTGTATTTAAATTTTTTTGTTAAGTAATGCGCTGTTATGCAAAGCCAATACGATCCAAATCGATTTTTCCACAAATCTGTTACTAGTGCTATGTAGGCAACTATTTTAAGCTTAGCTTTAAGATCGTTCTTGTATTGATAATACCGTTTTCCTTATTGATTAGCTATTGCCTTTCGGTGAGGCGGCTTGTAATGCGGAGCAAGAATGTTTAGAAGGAGTTGCATACCAGGTTTATGAAAATCGTTGAAAGGGCGGCTATCTTGAATAATACAATTTAACATGGCTTCATCTATTTTATCTCTGTTCTGCGTTTTTTTTTTTTGAGAATCGTAAAGGTACTCCGGTTTTTTATGAATATGAAATATATGTTTTCGCAGATTTGGCTCAGGCCCACATATAAGTTTTCCTTTTTCTGGACACATCAAACAAATATATTTATTAGCTTCGGAAACAAATGAAAAAAGTGACTTAATGGACTTAATTTACGTAAGAAAATTTTTGAGACAAAATATGGTTTTAATTATAATATATTATAATTATTAAAACGCAATGATTTTGGTTGAAATAATTACTAACAGCAATTTAAACCTCATGTATAAAATAAACTATTACAAAATAATTAGTAATATGACAATGGTATTGAACCAGAATACATTATATCGATCGAACATAGCACAACTTATATATCCAAAAATTTTTGGTAGTGTCATAATATTTTCATAATAATTTAAATTTTAAATATTTTTATATTATTTTGTATTATAATGCATAATATTAAATTATCTTTAATATTATGCTCTATTGTGGTATAAATAAAAACATACTTAAGTGCCAAACATTAGTTTGTTCTTGCTTATCACATGAGAATGTTTAGAAAAAGATTCTAACAACCACCTCATTAGGCGAAGGTGTAAACTTTACAAAATTATACCTTTAAAAAAAATCATTACTAGTTACCGTCACATTTAGAGTAGAGATGGTAAATGTTTAGGGTATTTTGTATCCAGGCTTACGTGACCAAGGTGCCCAATTTCTGTTTCTCTGGAACAATAAATTTTCTAAAAAAAAAACAAAAAAAAACTCTTTAAATATATCTTAAATATATCTCCTAAACCTTGCGGCTCTTGGTTCAGTTACTTGTGGGACCGTCAGTTTTGCTTATACTGGCATTGCGGTAGCTGGCCACTGATACTACATGCAGATAAAGATACTTACGTGAAAAGTTCTAAATTTGTAATGTTTTTTATAAGTCCTTACGGTCTTCGCACAGAGCACCGCTGATGAGCATTTGATTGAAAGGTCACGCCTTCTTCCTAACCAATGTCGCAAAGCATTCCTAGAAATGGGGTTTGAACCACGGATCCTTTGTTTTTGAGGCAAGTGCACTACCACTGTGCCACGGCTGCTCAAATCTCAAAATAATTAAATATAAAAGTACCGTAGTTGTTTAAACCAAGACTTTTAAAGAGTCAAAGGATATTCTTGAGCAGGTGGACTTTTTTAGTATCAAAGTGGCATCAAATCTTTACAAAATTAAAGCGTCCTCTGAAAATGTTCGGGGCTCCTTATTCTTCAAGGCATGGTGTTATAGCCCCGATAATTCAGGGCAAGTTTAATCTTTCTCTCCTTAGTTTTTAAATAATAAATACATTTACGCAAAAACTTGTAAAAAGGACTAACAATTATGCCAATTATTTTTTTTTTAAATAAACTACCCTTTCTGAGTCTCCCATGGGTATATGCGCCTTCTGCTAACATCCTTTTTTTCAGCTTTGTCCAGACCTTTCGAACGGTTGGCCAGAGAGTGAACATTGTTGAGACGGTTTGCTTCAGAGAATGTTTATTATAGCTAAAACTATCATGACCGGAACTAGAGAGTTTTAATCATGGGCGGAACCCTTTTATTGATTTTTTTAAACTTTACATGAAAGAAATATTTAAAACCGCGCAAATCGAATGTTGGGGAAAACTAAATGTCTTATGTCTTATTCCTTAAAATTTTACTTTTTTGCATTACTTTTGTACAAGATCCTGTCAAAGTTATTGTAAAATATAAGTAAAATTATTTACTTACTTTATATAAATTACTTTTAATTTACTTTACAAATTATATAAAATGTAAGTTTATGTAATTTAAACTTTATTTTATATAACTTATTTTTAATAAAGATTTGTTATTACTTTTAATATAGAAAATTCCTACTTAAAAAATATTATTTTTTTTGTAAATTTAGTTTACATTTGCTAGCGTAGGGGAGAGTGGTACTGAATGGACCTTGTACTGAATGGACCATTAGAAAAATAAAAACTTAACAAGCTGTTAATTGATTTTTTTTAATTGCATATAATTTTTGTATACTCAAAGTTTCTTTGATATTTTTGGTTTAACGTTATTCGTAATAATGCATTAATATTTGCATTTTTTGTTTTTTTCGAGCAAAAAGTAAATTTTTATCTTTTCAATTTGTTTCAATTTACACTAGATTTTTAAGGTAAAGTTAACTATGGTTAATAATAATATTATAGATACATATTTTTTACTTTGTATAACATTAGAATGAATGTTATATGATTTACTGATTGCTGTGATTATATGGGTAACATGTACATTTTGATTAGTGTACTGGATGAACCACCATTCATTGTACTGAATGGACCGGTTCATTTTTCTGCGAAGTTATTTATCGCGCTTCAGTATTTTACTTACTAAAACAAAATACACAAGTTTTTTTTATCTAAATGAACTAAGGAGATGTGAGTTAGGAAATAAACCAAAATATCTAGTTAACGAAGACTTAAGGGCGCAAGTTCAATTATTCATTATTCAATATAATATTAAGGTAAGCAGATAATATAATATTAAGTTAAGCAGACTAATAGCTTACATATTAGGTTAATAATTATTAATTTGTAGTTTGTTTCATTATTTCAATAACTGAATGTCATAATATTATTACGATATATAAATAAGGTGGTATTACTTTTAATAACATCTAGCATATAACATTTGTTATATATACTATATATAATAAAAGTTATATGCTAGATATGTTATATGGCATGTAATATGCTAGATAAGCTATATGCTAGATATTATATAATATATCTGAAATGTTATTTATACGTTTTTAAAAACAATGACAATTACCATGGTCAGTAATTTTTACAATACAAAAAATCAAGTAATATCTAATAAAACCAAGAATAAAATTTCGTAAATTAATTGTTATATTTAAATTACTAAAGCTTGTTGATCATAATAAAAAAATTATTCTACATTCAAGCTTTTATATAATTTAGTTTTTTATACATGTTATATGTGCGTGTGTGTGTGTTTAGATAATTAAATATATATATATATATATATATATATATATATATATATATATATATATATATAAAATAGCATCGATAATTTTTTTTTATAATATGGTTATAAACAAGTTTTATTTATTTCAGAAGTATTATGAGACATCGAAAAGCAACAGCACTAAAAGGTGATTGGGATCCCAATAATATGATCCAAGCAGTTGAAAATGTTTTAAATAAAACTCTATCTGAAAGAAAAGCTGTTGAGATATTTGGAGTCAAACGTTCAACTCTTAAGAGGCGAATAAAAGAAGCTCGACTATCTCAAAATGGATTGAATAAATTCCAATGTGTTCCATATAGTAACAGTTCTATGAAAATTTTTTCAGTAACAGAAGAACAAGAGCTGGTTCAATATTGTTTAGTTTCTGCAAAAATGGGATATGGGTTAAGTCCTATCAAGCTAAGAGCACTAACATTTGAATATGCTCTCAAACTTGAGAAGAAGTGTCCACATTCTCGTCGAGGTTCTGCTAAACCTTGGGAAACAAATAAACATGCAGGTGTAGATTGGTTTAGAGCTTTTTTAAGTCGTCATCCAGAACTTGTTATAAGAAAACCAGAGGCAACATCAATTGGTCGAATGTCAGCATTCAACAAGTATAATGTAAATCTATTTTATAATAATCTGCAAAGTCTTTTGATTAAATACAAGTTTTCACCAAATGATATATGGAACGTTGATGAGACTGGTGTTACTACTGTACAAGTGCCAGAGCATGTTTTAGCCAAGAGAGGAGAGAGGCAAGTTGCTTCTGTTACAAGTGCAGAACGAGGTATCTTGGTAACAATGTGCAATGCAGTAAATGCAAGTGGATCCTCAATAACACCATTCTACATATTTCCACGTGTTCATTTTAAAGATTTTTTTCTGCGAAATTCAATTCCTGGTTCAGTTGGCACTGCCAACAAATCTGGGTGGATGGTGGAATCAACCTTTATGGAGTGGTTTAATCATTTTATAAAAAGTGTTCGACCATCTAAGACAAACCCTGTGCTGTTGATACTAGATAATCATGAGTCTCATTTGTCAATTAACTTCATCGACTTAGCATCAGATAATGGTGTAATTGTTTTAACAATCCCACCCCATACATCACACAAACTGCAACCGTTAGATATAACAGTGTATGGACCTTTCAAACGTCATTATAATCGTGAAATTGATAGCTGGTTGGTATCACATTCAGGAAAAACTGTTTCAATCTATGACATTGCAGAAATTTCTGGAAAGGCTTGGGCAAAAGTATCAATGCCAGTTAACATCGTTAGTGGTTTTTCAGTATCTGGAATAAGTCCTTTTCAACCTGATCGGTGGAAGGATGAGGATTTTTTTTTATCTCAGGTTACAAATAGACCCAATCCTGAAACACTCAACATCAATCCAGTGTCATTAGAAATTATTAGACCTAATCCTGAAGCACTTAACATCAACCCAGTTTCAGTTGAAATTAATAGACCTAATCCTGAAGCACTCAATATCAATCCAGTTTCAGTAGAAGTTATTAGACCTAATCCTGAAGCACTCAACATCTATCCAGTTTCAGTAGAAATAAATAGAAATGTTAAAGTCAACAAAAATGTTAGCAATACCCTGAATGTGGAAAGTATACGCCCTTATCCTTCTGCAAAAGCTGGTTTAGAAAAAACCAAAGGTGCTCGCAAAAAGCTCTCCTCTTCGATTCTAACTGATACTCCAATTAAAGAGGCTCTTCGAAATCAACAACTTCAGCAAAATTTAAAAAAACAAAACTTTTCTGAAAAACAAAAAGATGCTAAAAATAAACGTCAAAGGAAATCAAGAAAGAAATCAAGCAACTCAAAAACTCTAAAGTTTCCATTAATGACATATAATAATGATGAGGCTGATGATATTCTTGTTGTCAAAGATAGTTTAAATTTTTGTGGAGGTATTACATCAAATTACGATTTGTGTGCTATATGTGAAGAAATGGGTCGTGACAACGAAGTGTGGTACCGTTGCAGACAGTGTGCGAGCTGGGCACATAAAGCTTGCACAAGTGCAGATAATGCCAGC